CCAGTGATGCAGCTGCACTAACTTAGCAGGCAAATATCCATTGGAACTTCTTTGGTTACAATTTTACTTTCTTAATGTTTTTTTCTTTTTTAATGGTGCCTTGCTTTATATAAAGCGAGGAGACAGCTGTAAGCCTGCTTCATCCTTCTGCTTTTCCTTTCTTGAGATGAGCTGATTTTTGCATAGCTAACAAAGAGTGTTAGAGGAATAATGGCTTATATGCAGTGGAAAAAGACACGTGTCCGATGTTTTATTTCTGTAGGAACTTACATCAGTTGTAATTATGAGAACATTGAGGCTTTAACTGTGATGGTGTAACTGCAGGAAAAAAATAACTGCCCCAAGCTAGTCAGAAATGTAGAACAATAGAAAAAAGCATGTTTTGTCTGTGAACATACTGAGTGATGCATTCATAAATCATTTGGACAGGTTTAGGGCTTCTCCTGTGAATGACATCTTTTGCCAGTCTCTGCCTGGATCCCCACTTAAACCCCATAATCTGGAACAGCTGGAGAAACAGCAAGAAATGATGAAGATGCCTTTTAGAAGAGCTAAAGAGGTAGATGGTTTTTTTTTTTTTTTGTTAAAGTTTGAAAGTGTTTACTATTCATGTTACAATACACATAACGTGCAGCTCAGTGGAACAGGTTGTTTTAATCTACATTAGAAGACCATGTCAGACTTTGGAACAGTCTTTAAGTTTGTTGCTTATTTATGTAGCCTACTTACTGGAAGGAAAACGTATCAGTTAAGTTTGGGCAACTGACTGAAAACTTCTGTGGCCTTCTTAGCCTGCAGTTTGCAGAGTTGCTAAGGTCCACACTTGGAATCTGTTTTTCAGCTATACCTAAGATAGTGGAAGCATTTTGTCACTGCTTTCATACTTTTTTGCACAGCTTGCCTAACATACTATTAGGTAATTTCCTATAGTTGATGTGATTCTACGGTGGCCATGTATTGCACCAAGGGAGATTCAGGTTGGACATTACGAACAGTTTCTTCTGTGCAGGAGTGGTCAGGTGCTGGAGAGTGCTGCCCAGGGAGGTGGTGGAGTCACTGTCCTGGAGGTGTTTAAGAAATGTTCACTTTTTATACTGAGGGATGTGGTTTAGTGGCGGAATATTGGTGGTAGGTTGGGCTGGATGATCCTGGAGGCTTTTTCCAACCTTGGTGATTCTATGATTCCGTATTAAATCTAGGTACTGTATTTGTATATACTTTAATTTCAGGAAGAGACACCTTCAACAAAAGAAGAGAAGTTTTCTTCCATTCATAAGCCTGTTGCTATTGGTAGCCATCAACTACTAACTGTAGGAACAACCCTCATCTCCAAATTGACTGACGACCAACTTATAAAGGAATTTCTCAGTGGCTCCTACTGTTTCCACGGGGTAAGAAATAAAAGTTAAATACGGTCAAATAGCTACTCCTTAATTATACATACCATTTTATAAGTGTGTATAAAATGAAATTACTCCTCAGTGAGAGGCGAGGGGGCTGTGCTGTTTCCTCATAACAGAAGAGGGCTGCCCAGAGAGGTGTTCAGATGTTGTACTAAATGGGGAAATACTAGTGGTAGGTTGACAGTTGGAGTGGATGATCTTGAGATCTCTTCCAACCTCAGTGATTGAATGAAATATAACAGAATCATACAGTCTTAACTAAAAGTATTCTTCTGTGCTAAATTCAAGACCTATTTTTGCACAGTTCTTGCCCTGGATCTCGTCTTGGCTACGTCCAACCTAGAGCATCTCAGTGTTGCATTGTGCTATGGCAAAACCTTTCTTAAAGCCAGCACTACTATCTGTTTTCTGTCCTCTCTCCCCACCAAATACTGCAATTATTTCTGTGTATGCAGTGCTGCTGTAGTGCTAGTTACAGAGCTATTTTGTGTTTGAAGTGAAAAGCATTTTGGGGGTATAAATCTATAGCTTTCATTGGGATATGGAGAGCATAGAGTTGGAAGTCTTAATGTTCACAAATGATATTTCCCTGATGTTCAGATATTTAAATAGATCCTCATTAAGTGATGATTGCTTGGTTGCACTGGTCTAAATGCAAAGTTGAAGCAATGGTAAAGTTCTTCTACTATCTAAATAAAACGAGTGCATAACTTACAGAAGCCACATCAAGTTAATGTTATAACAGCACTCTTTTGTACATAATTGCATCAGTAAAGGGAAGGTTTGTATAACAAGTTCTATGCTAGAAAGGTGTCTTCAGTTTTTTCTGTTGAAAACTGACTTAAGTGAACAAATGGTGAAATGAGAGTAGATCATGAGAGTTGTGCTGATTTTGTTAATGAGAAAGCCAGAAAAGAACAGATAAACAGCCAGCAGAGAAAAGGCATCTGAAGTTGTCACTCTCTTTGAAGAAGAAAACGTTTATTAGAAAGATGAATAGAGGGGATACAAATGGTTTAAGGAATTTAGTCCTTTTGCAGCTTTCCTCATGAGTTTACATAAAAATGAGGTCGTCTTTGCTTGAGCTCCTCTATTCCAGCTCTTAACCCTGCCAGTTAGTGTAATAAGAGTTTCTGTTTCAGTGCAAATCAGGAATCAACATTTCTGATTGATAGGTTTGGAGTTTTACAGCTAAAATAACCAGCAGTTTGGGGTCAGGAGGGAAATGGGAGTGGCTGTTTGGGGGTTTTGTTTTGGTTTAATGCTGAAATTATACCCCTCCCTAGGGTGTTGGTTGGTGGAAGTATGAATTCTGCTACGGCAAGTATGTTCATCAGTATCATGAGGTATGTGCACGTAGTTCTGTGTGCTGCCGCTAGATGGCTGTGGGTGGTGATGGGGAGCCTGGAGGATCCGTATTTGGTCTGAAAAAAGCAGCATCCTTTTCTTGGCTGATCAGCATTTTGGGTTTAAGCATGAATTTCAGAACATAAATCCTCAGCCCTGCATAAGAGTTTATGCAGGGTAACATAGATACCATGTCAGGTGATAACATAGATACCACAGCACAGTGATAACGAAAGCTGAAAATGTGTCTTTCTTCTGGAAATGCTCTTCTGCTCATTGAAATATGTTTATCAGCTTACACAGCCTCTATGGCTGTTGTGAAGAGACCATCAACTTGAGTCTTAACCCTACAACAACATCCTTCACAGCTTGTCCCAAATGCAAGAATGTGTCATGTTGATGGGAGCAGACTCGCTCTAGAAATGACATTCCACTCGTTAAGACATCTTCACTGCTAAAATTATAGTACAAGGTCACTATCAGCCTTTCTTTTTTTTAGGACAAGGAAAGTGGCAAGACTTCTGTGGTCGTGGGTACTTGGAACAAGGAGGAACACATTGAATGGTCCAGAAAGAATGCTGCTAGAACGTACTATCTTAAAGAAGATGGTACGCAGACAGTTAGGTATGGTTACATTCACTGAGATTACTGCTCTGGTTATGAGTTCCTGAGTTACTCTCATATGTGTGGCAGAGAAAAATAAATGCCAACATCCACTTCAGCCACACGTGAATATTTACTAATAGATAAGCTGTTACAAGCATGTTGATTTTTTTCCCCCTAATCAACATGCCATGTCAAGAAAGGTAATTCAAGACTGGATATGAGGCAGATTCTTCCAATAGTAAACAACGGTTTGCTCCTGTAATACTGAAATACATTATTTTACTTCTTTGTTATACATATTGAAGCTAAATATTTGAAATTATGAGATACATATTAAACAAATTAGCTCTGTGCATAAAAATTGTGTTTACTGTTTCCAAACTTTTGGGCAGGATGGTGTCTCATTTCTATGGAAATGGAGATGTTTGTGACTTAACTGACAAGCCAAGGCAGGTGACAGTGAAATTGAAGTAAGTTAACTTATTTTTTTTTCTTTTTAGTAAACTGATGCTTTGTGTTTCTGCTTTCTCTTCCAGAAGGGAAAGTAGTATCTTTCTGCCTTTCAGCTCAGAAAGCAACTGTTAGCTGGGCTTAGTAAAAATGATGCTGATAGTAGGGAAATGGATTTTATTTTTGTGTTTCTTAAATGCTAAAAACAGCAACATTTTTTTTTTTTTCAGATGCAAAGAGTCTGATTCACCTCATGCTGTAACCATATATATGCTAGAGCCTCATTCTTGCCAATACATCCTTGGGGTATGTAAAGACATTCTTGAATTTCCAGAGATCAGCTGTCACGTAGTGGAGGATGTCTCAGGGTACAGGTTCCACTTCATGGAAAGTGTGAGATCAGTTCTGACTTGATTGACTGCCTTTGTTAGTCACAGGGTATGATTTGGTAGATTTTCCTACTCAAGTGACAAACTTTACAGCTGCCATCTGGAGTAGGGTTAGCAGTGCAGCCTGCCCCTGGCAGGGGAACATAGACACTGTACTGAAAGACACATCAGGATTTCCAAATGCACTGAAAAATGCTGATGTCATTTTAGTGTTCTTACTAAATCTGATGAAGGTGCTGCTCCATCCACTGGGTCACCACTGGGCACCTTAAATATGTGACGTGTGCTGAGCCTCTTGCCCTCTGTTGTGATTAATCTTGTGATCTCTGTTGTGGTGTCTTGTAAAAGTTATTTCACAGAAAATATTTCATATCTTCACACTTCAATATTTTGTCTCATGCGTTCAAGGTGGAATCTCCTGTCATCTGTAAAATTTTGGATACAGCAGATGAATATGGGCTCCTTTCAGTACCCAGCTAAAGAACAGCATAGTCCATGAAGAAAGCCATACCCATCAGCATCCCAGCTGGCCTTTTCCACATTAACACCATACCTGTGAGATGACCGAGCAGTACAGAAGTGTTCAGCCAACCAGCCTCACCAGCAGATTTCTCCGAGATGAGGGACTCATGAACCACTTTGTGTATAATGATGTGTATATAAGAGGTTATCGATAAACTTTTAACAATTAAAATCTTGTCTTGCACTCCTTGTTTGACTTGTGTGTGAGGCATTCTGCATTGATTGTTGTCGTCATCAAGTTACAAATTACCAGCTTTCAAAAAGCAAAGTATGGCTTCAAGGGAGGAGTTCGACTGCCCACAGAAGGGAGAAGGGAAACCAGCACTTCTTGCAGAAGCCTTCACCAAGATTTAGTTGTTCTGATGCACTTACTTTGTCCAAACAAAAATGCTACCTCAGTTTGATGGAACCTGTATTAATATCACACTTCTTTTGCCTCTTAACTTACTTTGTCCCCGTTCAGCTGTCACTTCTGCTTCTTAAGTCCTATTAATTTTGTTGTTTTTGTAGGTGTTACTAACTTCATACAGTTCATCTTAATGTATTTATTTTGCTGCCCATTCCTACTGACATGTACCAGAGTTGCTGTACTGCTTGGGGAGCTAAGGTATAATACTAGATTGCTTTGGAGCAGCTGACATGCAAAGATTTCCTTCCTTTGGAACATTGTAGGGCTGGCAGAAAGTTCCTTTGCTGCTTTTACTGAGTGCCAAATCCCTAACTTGTTTTGAGTGACCACAAACCAACCTTGTCCACACTCAACACACCATATGATATGTATGTCCTTTGGTCACAGCCCTGCAGTAAGGCTTGGCATGTGCACCATCCTGCTGAGAATCATCAAGGTTCCAACTGAGAAAGAACTCAGTGAATGCTTTCAGATACTTTCTATTGAGTTCCACCACAGTGAGCTTGGGAGTTGTGCAAGGTGTGTAATGATGCTGAGATGCACAGAAGCTGGGCAATATTTCAGTGCACAGCAATTGTGTGTTCTCTGTCTTGATTGCCATTAGTTTGTCAGCCAGCTGCAGGTTTCCTCTTTCCTAGAGCTGTGCAAAGTGTAGGAGTTTCATAACTGATCTCAAGCAGAAATCCACTGAGCATCTGGCATATGACTGGTCTGGTGCTATCCAGAGTATCAAGTAAAACTGTGAGACTGTTGCAATTAACAACTACATTTACTCTCTTACTCAGTAGAAGGGAACAAAGCAGCAGCACGATGATAGGCAATTTAGATGCAAAGTCATTCTTCCTGTTCACATCCTAATTTTGGACTGCTCAGCCCTGTTATGGCTAGGATGGGAAGAGAATCTTACCCAGATTTTGTATTGTTCTCTAATCATGCAAAGGATGAGGAAAATCATCCTTAAGTTTTAATCTTGTATTAAGCCAGCTTTTAGAAAACTGGAGGCATAAAAGAGACCTAACTTTAGATACTTAACTTTGTTTCCTTGAAGTATTTTTACTTGCCTGAATAGCCCAATCCTCTCGCTAGGCATCTAGAACAGCTGTTAGCAATCTGGGCCCCCTACTGACCAAAGGCTGTCTTTACACGCCATTCAACGAGTTCGTGTCTGCAAGTGGGCAGAGCACTGTGCTTAAGAACGTGGTCTCAGAAAAGTGCAGACAGACAGAGAAAGAAAGTCTGCAGGCTCCAGCAGTATCATCTTCCCATACTGCCTGCATGGATGCCAAAGATGGAACTGCATGCAGTGTGAGTAGCTGCAACCAAAATGTCTTTAAACTACTTTGGATACTCCCAAAACAACACAACAGTAAGAAAATAGAATGTTTAGCTTTAGCTTCCTCTAATCTGTCTTGATAATGGGCTGGCTGATTCTTACTGAGGCTGCAGCAGCAGGTGGAAGTGTGAGACAGAACTGTGCAACCCTCTGAATTGAGGCTGCTCCATCTCTATTTACCTGCTTTTGGGAAAGTCAGATCATTGTGGCTCAGTGCTGTGCAGAACTACTAAGCAGTGAGTGCTTGAGCCCCAGGCTGTATGTGTGGGGATACTGTCAGACCTTGTATGCACATATTGGGTTAGGTCACATTCAAGGGAGGAGAAACCACAATAGACTAAAAGCTTTCTGCACATCTGTTTGTTGTGGTAGATTAGATCAGAGAAGATAAAGAGAGATATGCTGCAGAATTTAAAGAATTCCACTTCCCCTCATGGCAGAGAAGTCCCCAGCACAGTGGGGAAGTGCAGCCTCTGTGACTAAGCAGCCACAGCACCTCAGCATGCCACTGAAACCAATGAAGGTCTGCTGCTGCTATTTATGTACTGCTGCCAAAACCACATATCCAGTTCTCCATATTCCTCAGCTTCTGCCACCCCTTGCAGGGGAAGCAATGTGCTCACATATCCCTGCTCTGCATCCAACATACCTGCAAGCATAACACCATGACATCCAAGCTTCTGGCTCTGCCCTTAGTGCTCTGCATTACACAACAAAGGCTTCATTGGACATCAAATACCAAAATGGTACATGAGGCAATACCAGATTTACAACCATTTATTACTACAGGAAGAAAAAGTTTTGCCAGCAATGAGCAAAGCGCGTAACTGGATAACAAAGATGAAAAGTAAAGCACTAAGCTAAAGCTCAGGTTGCTGAGGTTTTTTGCCACCAAGAGACTAAGAGCCAAATCCATGCTGCATGTGGGTCTCACATTCCTCTGTCAGGACATCTCCTCTGCCAGGCAGCCCATTTTGTCCAGCACCAAAGGGCTACCACTGATTATCTCTCCAACCAATTATTTATTGTGACAGGAACTGGATGGCAGACAGGCCGGCACCTAAATTAACTGCTTTTGATGTGGGTTGTGCATATCACTTACCTATGCCAGTAAAGGTCAGCAGAGGGTCTTGACACCATCTGCTCCAAGCCCAACAGGAGCACTGCTGCACTACAAGTTTTTCCTGTGCTCACAAAAAACAAATATTTTTTTTTTCGAGTCATGAAAATTTCTCCACCCTGTCCTTACTGAAAACAACTACTGTGTGGTGCAACACCTCCCACTCGACAAGGAAAGCCCAGCAGACAGCGCCGGTTTCCTTACATGGCTTGTTCAGGAAGGACTTGACTCAAACTCACAGAGATGAGGAACACTTTTCTTTTTTACCCTCTCCCGTATCTCCCCTGCTAACAGCTGAGTTGGGAAAGAACCAGTGTGGGAGGAGGAGGAGGAAAGATGTGCGCCAAAAACCAAAGAGCACAACAGATCATGAGTTGATACTGCTGGAAGGAATTAATCCCAACATAAGCTTATGTTCTCATACATTTGAATCTGGAAGAAAAGCTCCTTCTTCGATGCTCTCCTATGCAGGCTCTGGGATGTGGGAGCCTCTCAGTACCAAAAAGAGGGAAAAATGAGCTTCCTTGGGTGTGCAGAAAGCACAAAGTGGAACTGGAGCTCTGTGGGTTTAGGGGTTGATCTGCTTAGATTTATACATGTGATGGTATGCAGATTTGCACCTCAGCCTGAGAGGCTTTTGTTTCCTTCCTCATTTAAGAATCACCAGTGTGGAAAATAACCCGAACGGCAGACAGCAGTAACAGCACCAATGTGATCTGCAATTAGTCAAGGGAAATTACATCAAAGGAAAGTAGATCTATGAAAGTGAAACATGCCGCTTATTGAAGGTATTTATTTCAGTGAGAAGAGCTCAAAGAATGAACAGTTTTGTGCCCCAGAAGACCAGATTCATCCACACAAAAAAGGATCATCAGCAATAAGCACCTAATGACGTTCTCCTCTCCCCAGCTTATCAGTACAGGAATGCTTAAAACTCACCTATGAGTCAGAAACTGGTGAACTCCTACAGAACCCAACCCCATGTAGCACAAAGTCACTCACTTCCTGCTAGGACCTGCTAAAAAGCCATCAGGAAATGGAAATTGGAATTTTCTGTAGAAAGTAAGAGTCATCTTCCATCTCCACTCAAAGAGTGCTCAAACAGCAGCCCCGAGCCTTCAGACAATGGGGATTCCTTCTAGAGCTAATTCCTAACTGCCATTTAAATTCACAAATTATTATCTGCGTGACTGAAACAAGAAACAGAGATTATTTATGTCAGACATCAGCACAGCTAGATATAGCTGAAAGGATGCAGTGTCTCAATGTGTGAGGCACAACAGCCCCTGCAAAGTTTCACCTAGCTCAAGAGGCAAAGTAAGACAATCACATTTGGAAACAGTTTTCTCAAATGGTACAGAAACCTGGGGTATTATTTTAACATTAACATTACAACACTAATATTTAGACCCCCCAAATCTGCCTCAGTTCTGCCTTTGGCCACGCTTGCATTTTGCCTCTTCACTCACACAGGGCTTTCCTGTGTGCTGCTGTTCCTCCACAATCCCCAAAACAGTTCTGTGCTGGAACACAGCTGGTCCATCTTCTCAAAAGAGGGGGCTACAGACTGAGTTTCAAGAAATGAGTGGCTCCATTCTGGTCAAGGAAGGAAGGCTCACCAGGGAGACACGGCTATCTACAGGGGGTCACTGCTGGTACAATTTTGACATGTCCAGAATGCTCTTGATTTCCTGGCTCCTGCTAAAGCAGGGAGGGATCTGTTTGGGCAAGGCATGGCTTCAGGGCAATTCCCACAACCTGGCGGGGCAGGAAAGTGCAGGTCTGATTAGAAAGGGGACAAAAACAACCCTGGGGTTTTCCAGTCCCTCAGGAGAGTCTCAGAGCTATCATAAGAATTTCCAGTCACTGATGGTTACAAAAGAGTGGAAACATCTTTAGGTTTTTTTAGAAGAAAAAGCAGAGCAAATGACAGCATTCAGTGCCTTGTGCAATCTGTTGACTCCACCAACATCCTGACCTGTGCAAGCACATCTTTAAAGGCAGCACTACGGACCAGAAGAAAATCTCCTGTTCTTTTCCCTGCTCAGACAGAAGCGAGGCTTCCAGCAGCAGCGTGACCAGCTCTCCCATTTTCAAATGTAAGTCTACTGACACTTGGTTTTTCTTTCCCCTCCAGGAAGGCTGAGAACAGTACAGTGGGACATCCACTACAGATTATCCTCCACTATCCATTGGTTCTCCTTCCTATCTTTACCATAACTGCAGCACAGCAGCCAAAATCCCAGAGGACACCTTGGGAGCAGGTCGTTGAGAGTGACCTCTAAGCCTTAAATCAATCAGCTCCCATGCCCCATTTCCCCCTGAAGCAATGGGCTCCCATTGGCAGGAAGGTTTGATGCTATGAGAAGGAGAACCCTGCCACACGCACCCCACAGCCCATCCCACCCCACTGCCAGCACTACAAAAGCAGCAGTGGGGCCAGGCAGCTCTGGAGGCTGCAGCAGGGCTGTGAGGAGGGTGGGCACTAGAAGCACGAGGTAGGCTTTAACTGTCTCTTATCTGTAGGTGCTGTGTAAGGCTTTGACACCTGGCTTACTGGTGTGGGGTGCTTGGTGGAGCTGGTCCTGGTTCTGGTCTTGGGGCTGATTCAGGACTGAGGACATACCCACAAGGGCTGTGCTTTCTTCTTCTGAGTTAAATGTGAGGATCCTGGCCTGGTGGCTGTGATGGTGGCTAAAAGGGGCTATGATAAGGCTCGATCGCCCTGCTAATGGTGCACATTTCCACATAACAAATAGAAGACACAGAAGTGCATGATCCAGTGTGAGCAAACCCCAAGAAAGACGTGGGGCAGGAGAGGAGCCGAGCAGCGACCTTACCAGGCTCAGGGAGTCTTCAGAGATGAGTGGGTCAGCAGGCAGTGACCTCTTCTGGTTCAAGGTGCCACATCCAAATTCACCAATTTCATCTGCGGAGCCAGTTTTCTCTCTTTCTTCTTCCTACAGGTAAGATTAATCAATGTTCAGTGGTAAATTCAGTTGTGAGCCAGGATGAGAAGCACAAAACCTGCAAACAGCATTTAGGAAAGCACAGTTCAGATTGCACAACGGGAAGCTGTTGCTGTGAGGGCTGCTTACAACCTGCCTGGAGAGGGGAAAAGGTATTTTACAACAGCAAACACTCAGATTCACTATGGTGATCTGAAATGTATAGTGCTCTACTTCAGATCCTTCTGACACCTCTTCTAGTATTGCCTCTTGAACATTATAATGAAGGACACGTTTTTGTGTAGATAACAAGGGATTCAGATGCGATTAGTGAAACAATTTATGTACTTGCCAATAAAGTAGGATGATTTAACATATTGAAAGGATACTCATTTATGCAATGTAGAGCATATTATAATGATGGATTTTACATTTCTTTTCTCTAGGATGAGGATCCTTATCAGAAGTCTTTATTTCTACTTCATTTCTGTCTTATTCAGTAGAGCCAATGGATTTCTAACTCAGAAAACATCTCCATTGTCTTCCTTCCCATTTTATAACTACTCTTACTTAAACCTCACTTCCGTATCAGAAGCACAAGCTCCCAAAACAGCAAGAGCTCTCAACTTCTCACATAATGCAATTGAAAAAATAACCAAAAGAGACTTTGAAGGTTTTGATGTACTGGAAGTTTTGGACCTTTCCTACAATCACATTAAGGACATTGAACCTGGTGCATTTGAGAACCTGCTCAGCCTTGTTTCTGTGGATTTATCATTTAATGATGAGAATCTTCTGGTATCTGATCTTGCATCTCACCTGAAACTCATACCAACCAGCGGGACCTCAGGACCTTCACAAACTTATATGCATTTTCAAAAATCAGCAGAGGCTGCTCTGGAGCCTTCTACACCAGCTGAACTGCTGCCACATTTGGAAGATCCATCCAATCCAGGAAATGTTAGCCCAAGGTTCAGACAAAGAAGAGCAGAGGAAAATACAACTTCCCCCCCAGCAGCCACGCTGAGGCCTGATGTGTGTGGAGCACCAATCAGTGGGTTGCTTGACCTATCAAGGACCAAACTGTCTAATGAAGAGCTGGAAGCAAAACTGGATGCAGACCTCTGCCAAGCTCAGCTGCGTGCTGTTTTGGAGTTTAACATTAGTCACAGCAACCTGGAAATGGATCTGCTGTCTCTGTTCATCCTGTTTTTGCCAATGAAAGACATACGGTCCGTTGATGCAAGCTACAACAAAATAACAATTAACAACATAGACGTTGAAGGAATCTGTCACTTCCCATTCAGCAACTTTTCATTTTTAAATATCAGCAACAATCCCATAAACAGCTTGGAAACGATGTGTCTCCCACCAACCATCACGGTCATTGATTTGTCCTTCACAAACATTAGTACAATACCTGCAAATTTTGCTAAAAAGTTACCTAAATTAGAACGTATGTATGTTCAAGGAAATCAGCTCATATATACTGTACGTACAGAAAGTCTCAGTGCAACCACAAGGCCTCCCCCTGGAACTGTACATATCAGTGCCATTTCCTTTGTCAGAAACCAGGCTGGTACACCCATCGAAAGCCTTCCAGAGAGAGTGAAACACCTGAAAGCATCCAACTGCTCCATTGTAGAACTTCCAGAATGGTTTGCCAACAGAATGCAAGAACTACTATTTCTGGACCTCAGCAGCAATCGGATTTCCATGCTTCCTGACTTACCTATCTCTCTGCAGTACCTTGACATAAGTAACAGCGATATTAAAATGATACCCCCTAGCTTTAAATCTCTCTCCAACTTAACCGTATTTAATATCCAAAACAATAAAATTACAGATATGCATCCTGAATACTTCCCATCGACTTTAACAACATGCGATATTAGTAAAAATAAGTTGAAGGTGCTGGCATTAACCAAAGCCCTAAAGAACCTCGAATCGCTTAACGTCTCTGGAAACCTAATAACCAGACTGGAACTCACCAGCCAGCTTTCTGCACTCACTAACCTGGACAGTAGTCACAACCTAATTTCAGAACTCCCTGACCACTTCGGGCAATCTCTCCTGATGCTGAAGCATTTTAATTTATCAGGGAATAAGATCTCCTTCCTGCAGCGCGGCTCCCTCCCAGTTTCTCTGGAGGAGCTGGACATTAGCGACAACGCCATCACTACCATAGTGCAGGACACTTTTGGACAGTTAACTAGTTTGAGTGTTCTGACTGTTCAAGGTAAGCATTTCTTTTGTAACTGTGACTTGTACTGGTTCGTAAACGTCTACATCCGTAACCCACATCTGCAGATAAATGGCAAAGACGATCTCAGGTGCAGCTTCCCACCAGACAGACGGGGCTCGCTGGTGAAGAGCAGTAATCTCACACTTCTGCACTGCTCCCTGGGCATTCAGATGGCCATTACAGCTTGTATGGCCATCCTGGTTGTTCTGGTGCTAACTGGCTTATGTTGGCGCTTTGATGGGCTGTGGTATGTGAGAATGGGTTGGTACTGGTGTATGGCAAAGAGGAAGCAGTACAAGAAGAGGCCAGAAAATAAGCCCTTCGATGCCTTCATTTCATACAGCGAGCAGGATGCAGACTGGACAAAAGAGAATCTACTGAAAAAACTGGAAACTGACGGATTCAAGATATGTTATCACGAAAGAGACTTCAAACCAGGGCATCCTGTACTTGGCAACATTTTTTACTGCATAGAGAACAGCCATAAAGTCCTTTTTGTTCTCTCTCCCAGTTTCGTAAATAGCTGCTGGTGTCAGTATGAACTGTATTTTGCTGAACATTGGGTCCTGGATGAAAATCAGGATTCCCTCATTATGATAGTGCTGGAAGACCTCCCGCCCAACAGCGTGCCTCAGAAGTTCAGCAAACTCAGAAAGCTGTTAAAAAGGAAAACCTACTTGAAGTGGAGCCCCAAAGAACACAAACAGAAGATTTTCTGGCATCAGCTGGCAGCTGTCCTAAAAACAACCAACGAACCGCTGGTGAGAGCAGAAAATGGACCCAATGAGGATATAATTGAGATGGAATGAGAGATAAGGACTTATACAGACTGTGCCTGGAAAGCCAGCAGTCATATAAAAGTGTTTCTGTGATTACCTTTTGCAAAGCCTGCTGTGCTGTTATCCGGAGGGCTGAGACCTGAGCACTGGTAAACAGCCTTTCATTCATTTCTGGGTGCTTGATTTTCTTCAGCTATTACTAGCATTTCTTGAAATGTTGTGGTTGGCACCTGAAAGGAAGAACAGCTTGAGTCACACTGCAGATCCTAATTATCTTTTGGAGATTACTGCAGTAATAATGAAAAGTAGTGTCATTCAAATACAACGTGCTTCAGATTCTTAAATAGAGTACAGCTTCAAATAGAATGCACCAGGATTACAGTCAAGAAAAACACAAACTGCAATAGTATATAGGTAAAAATTTCCTTCTGTGGTTTGGCACAAAAAGATTAAAATCAGTGTAGCCACCTGAGAGATGCAAATGCAAATCCACAGTGCTGCCTCACTTGGGTATGTGGTGGAAGGGAACAGACTTACAAATCTTTCAAAACTGCAGATGAACATTAGAAGCAGACAACCAGGAACAAGCTAGCTGAGTATGCCAGCCTGAACTGTTAAATAATTGGTGTTTTATCTAAATGCTGGTACCACAAACCTCTGAAGAACAGGCAAGAAAATTCTGTATAATAATATTTAAGAAAATTTCACTTGACACAATCAGCCTAATCCATTTCAAATCACTGCCTAGTCACCATCATCACCTAAAGCTACTTACTTATATGAAAAAATAAAGTCAGCTGATCTAACACATACCATATTCAAGCAAGAGAAACAGGTCCTGGAAGTAAATAAGTATCAGCTGAGAACAGATCATTTGGTGCAGCACAACCTGGATTCGTTTGTAAGATGAGCAAACCCAAACCACCGATCTTTACTTGGCTGGTTCTGATAGTCCAAGTGGGCTAAAGGAAGGAAAAGAGTAGATATACCACAGGAGAGTCTAAAGTTATTTTTGTTGTACAACTGATCACTCCAATTTAAACTGTGTTTGAAAGAAATTGTGGCTATGTATTTTCAAAATGCAATCACTCTTCTATTTACTACATCCATAAACCTCCTCCAAAAAGACAGTTATTAAATAGAATCAAAAACTTAAATTGGATATTGTTTGAATGAAGTTGTTATACTTGCCTATCAGGCACTATAGACATATGAACACATTGACTGCTTTAGGAGCACGGCTGGTACCAGGGGTTAAGCAGAACAGTATCACAAGGTGCTTTAAAGAGACTTAATTTCCTTTGCCTTAATTACATTTCACATAAAGGAAATAAAACCTCCCTGGATCCCAAAGCTGTACCCTCCCCTCTTTACTCCCACATGAACATTCAATGCAAAATACTTCTGTGAACTACTTTTGTGAATAAGGCAAGAAGGATTTAATCTCCTGTCATGCGACAAGTTCAGGAGACCCAAAACAAACGCGTGGTATGGAAGTGTGCATACATACAGTAGACTCAAAAACTTCATGTTCCATGCTTCATGTCCAAACCAGACTTGGTGTATATCTTAAACCCCCACAAGATCCATCCCAGGCCCTGCCCTACATTCTGCCATGTGAGATGGTCAAAATCCCGCGTATTTTTACCTCCAAATTAAGAGAAATACAAAGAGAGAAAAAACCAAACAATGCATCTTTTAAATACCTTTTGTAATGAAGTCAGTAAGAACCATGTCTGGGCAGAGGGAACAGACTTAACGAAAACATTTCCATTTTACATTGGAATTAGAAAGTTGTTTGCGTTCATTTTATTGCAATAAAGCCGTACTGAATTATTCAAAGTTAATTAAAATTAACTAAACAAAGAACAGTGTTCATAAACTAATAGCCTTCCAGGAAAATCTTGAAAACAGTTGGGTTAACAAATAGCCCAAACCAACGACGACTCACACACAGCAATGAGGTGAATGGTTCATCTTCCCATCACGACCATTTTGTTAAAGGGCTGACATTCTCCTACCACAGGCACCAGAAGTCTGTGGCACGGTCACTCTGGAGATACCACAGCTCTCCTGAAGCCAACAGCAGCTGAGGGGCGACTGCTCGCTTGGAAAAGATCTGTCCACTCAAAGCAGTGATTGTCAGGAATTTAAATGCCTGCAGATCATTCCAGTTCATAAGGAGGTCCCACGACACACTGCACGACACAAGTGGGTGGATTTATAAAAAATACTTCACTTCTGTTGTTTGCTCACAGTGTCAACCACTAGATAAAGAGTATAGGTAGACATATTAAACTTTAAATCAAATTGACATTGCAGGACAAGGTCAAAGCCTTGTAATGGCCTGGCACCTCCAACAACTTGCTACTCCTGTTCTAAAAGTTGTTCATAGCTCTCAGGAATGTCTCGGCCGAACTTCTCCACTTCCCACTCTTAAATAAAGCCGCAGACAAAGAGCAACCAGCAACACCAGTACAAATTAGAATATTCCAGAGGTGACTGCATTATTAACGGGTGGCAGTACTCTAATACTGCAATATTCAGCCCTATCCTCAAATAAAATGTATAATTCATATGGGGCAGGTATTTCTATCAGATGAAAAACACTTGGCTGAATACATTATTTTGGGATATACAATGGCACCAATGCTTACAATAAATGTACAATGGAAATCAATACGTATACTTCAGAGGTTCACTATGGCACCGCAACTCTTCTCACCAGTCCCCTCCCAATGGCAATATGTCACTGTCTGTCAAACTCTCCTGCTCCAGGAAGCTGAAATTCACAGAGATTTCGGTGCTACTGACACTTGCTACATCAAAACACTTGCGACCTTCAGCAAATGGAAATTTAAACCAAAGCATTACCAAGCATCCTCGCAACTCTTCCTTCCTGAAAATATGGCAAGTATGCATTTCAACAGATAACACTCCTGGCACAGCCTCAGACTGTTCTCTGAGATATTTTGCCCCATGATGTAATTAATCACATGTCATCGAGTAACAATTTCAAATTCAAGCCTAAAATGTTGCCCTTTCTAACTTGACAGAGAAATTCAAGAAAAAGCCACGGAAGTAATATTCTAGTATTCACTTTAAATGCATGTAGCCGGATGTTAACACTACTGTTTTCTGTTGTTTTTTTTTTTAAGTTGGCAGCAGTACAGCAATACCACTGAGTTTAGAACTCCAACAGTGTCGGGCATCCCCTAAAATGAGCTAGATCAGACCTGCTTTCCCAAGGTTACACTGAGGGTACGGGTATCGGCTTGGTCGAAGCAGTGTTACAGTCTCGCACCAGGTCGGTGGTGGTGTGGTAGTGCATGGCAATGTAGGATTTGGTGAATCCAAAAGTTGAGTTCACCGGCTGTAAGCTATTCGGGGTGCTCGCTTCCTGGGAAGGGCTGCTGTTGTAGATACTGTAGTAGGGCTCGATGCGGGTGTTCATGGGGGTTGAGCTGCTCTGTCCATAGTGCTGATGTCCGTAGGATGCCTTGGGACTCAGCACGCTCTCCTTGGAATGACTGGGACCACAGGCTTGGTCCACAAACTTTTTCTGAGGTTTAGGAGACAACACGTACGCTGAATTGGTCTCGTGGTGGGATGACTTGTTCCTGTTGACTTCCAGGCTGCCTTTGCCCATGGCTCGAAGCCTCGTCTTCTGCTTGCAGCAGAAAAAAACAAGGGATAGGTACTGCAGGCACCACAGGGCTCGTCTCCGAAGTCCGGCGCTGTTGCGGGAATATATAAAAGGGTTTAATCCAGATTTGAAAAAAATGAGAGTAAATCCACACAGCTCAAACTGATAGAGCACAAAGCCGCCGCTGCCGGACAGCATGTCCTGCACCAAAGAGATGCCCAGGGGCAGGCAGCACACCAAGACGGAAAGCACGATGACGACACACGTCACCACCGCCCTGGAGTCTTTGGCTGCGGACAGGTTGACGGCCGACACGAGCTGCAGCCGGCCGGCAGCCGGCGGCTGGCCCAGGTGCATGGCATAGCCGTGAGCCTGGCCGTGCTGCGGCTTGCCGGAGCCCTGGTTCCTGTACAGGGCGGGCAAGGCGTTCTGCCCAGCACCGGCAGCCGGCGGCCCCACGAAGGACTGGGGTCTGGAGGCGCCCACGGCCACCGCCGGTGGGCACTTCCTCACCTGCGCGTTCCTCCGCAGGGCCTGGGCGATCATGACGTAGGAGACGGACACCACGGCCACGCAGCAGATGAAGTCGGTGACGTAGAGGTAGAGGATGACCTTCCCGTCCCCGCGGGCGAAGCTGGACATGGGCAGGCAGAGACGGGAGCCGTGCGTCCTCAAGGTGGCCATGGTGGCCAGGGTGAAGCTGGCGGCCCAGAGCAGCGAGGTGAGCAGCAGCGTGCAGGGGAAGGGCGCGGCGCGGTGCGGCTGCTTGCCCAGCACCATGCGCAGGCGGTGCAGGGCGATCACCGCCACCGTCTTCAGAGACATGATGATGAAGCCGGAGCTGGTGAGGTGGAAGGCGAAGCAGAAGGTGGCCGGCACGCCTCGGGCCGAGTCGAAGAAGAGGACGAAGGCGAACATGGGAGCGGCCACCCCGCAGATGAACAGGTCGCAGAAGGAGAGGTTGAGGATCATGAAGTCGAAGTTGGTCCTGAATTTCCTGAGGGCCGGGTCGAAGAAGGACAAGAAGACGATGAGGTTGCCGTAGGAGCCCAGGCAGAAGACGAGGGCCAGCAGCGAGGCGCAGGCCGCCAGGGTGGCGGTATGGGTGCCGTCCCGCAGCCCCGCGGCGGCGCTGCCGTTCCCGCCCAGCGGCAGCAGCGCGGCAGAGGGGGGCTCCTCCTCGCCCCCCGCCGGCAGCCGTCCCGACGCGTTCATCTCCGCCCGCCGCCTCAGCGGGGCCGCGGCGGGCCCATGGCGGGGCCGCTCTCCCGCCGCCGCCGCCGCCGCCGCCGCCGCTCCCTCAGGGCTGCCCCCGACATGGCGCCGCCCGCCCCGCCATGGCGCCGCCGCCGCCGCGGCCCGGCCCCTTCCCCGCTCGGCGCGGGCGGCTCGAGGCCGCGCTGTCCCTCCGTGCTGACCGAGCCGCAGCAGAGCACGGGCCCAGCGCCGAGCTGTTGATCGGCAGCGCTTCAGGCAGCAGATCTGCCTGCCCTGAGGCGGCGCTCTGTGTGCCAGCTGAGCGCGGGCAGGCGAGGCGCGGAAGTGTTGTGAGAATGCGGGAGGTGCAGAACTTCTGCCTTACGGCTGGCACCCGTCTTACGCCGTACGCGTCTGCATACACAGACAAATACATCAGTGAGTCTGCCCTCTCAATAGCCTGCCTCCACCCACAGCAACCCTGCGGAAGCACGGCAGTGTTTGGTGGAAGCCTCAAGACAGAGACAAGAGCATCCGAAAGCTCGTCAGTGGATTATTTTCCAACACGTTACCTTCTAAAACTACAAGCGGTTTCTTTCAGTAGACCCGTGACTCACAGCCAGGCCGAGCCTTGCATGCTAAGCATAACCCCCAGTCCTGCTGTGGTACCACGGCCTGCCACAGGAACAGCAGCAGCCGTGGCAGCGGTGCGCCTTGCTGAGGGCATTGTGCATTGTTGGTCTTAAAACGGCCGCACATAAGACTGGGCAAGGTCCCAAATCCAGAACGTCACGTGCATTGTTTGCCATGGCTTCAAGCGTTCCAGCTTGGCTGCGGCTTCTGTTTTCATTCTTGCTTGTATTTTTGTTCCTCAGTTCTGTGGGTGAGCCCTCAATGAGTATGGGGTTTTCCACGGACGAGCCAGAACGTCCCTCCTTCAGGTTTTTTAATTCACAAACACCAGAGAGTGCTGAACTGTATGATTAAACAAGGCATGCGAGCCTCAATTACTTCAAAGTGATTAATGCTGGGGAAACTGAGATGCTTGATCTGTGCAAGTGAAACTAATGTGCACGTGATAACCACATCCTTCCAGAGCAGGTAACATTGCTGCACACAGCTGGAAGCAAGACATTGTGTAAGAACTTCTGCTTTAGTTTCACGTCATGCCTAATGCCTGCATTAGGGTTGGCTGCTGCTGCAGTGTCACTTATTTACAACACAAACACAACTGCAAACAGGAGCCCCTTAAAGAGATAGGAAAGGCTGAGTAATTCCCACCCTTACATTAGGTGGTTGAATGCTCAGACTTGGATGAACTTTCCCTTAGTAGCTAGATTAGCAGGTGGAAGAACACATATAGAAATATATAGAGAAATAAGGCTGCAAATGCCTGATGAGATTTTTTTTTTGCAAGTCCACATAGTTTAAAGCACTTTGCATGACTTTGATCTTGTGTGCTTTTGAAAGTATTTTAGAGCAAAATGGCACAAGCCTGCACTTTGGCGATGCGCACTGAAATGCTGCAGTCAGTGGTGGGTGATCAGCTGAGTGCCCACAAAGGCTGCAGAAGGCAGCAACCACAAGAGGTCATTGGAACACAGGCTTTCACCCAGCAAGGGGATGAACTGAGGCAGAAGGAACACAAAGCACTGTGCAGTCCTGTTTGCTGAGCAAAGCGTCTCACTGGTCGGGTCCTTTTAAATAGGCTACCAGAGTTTTGGAGCAAGGGAAAAGAGCAGCTGAAGAAACAAGCCTGGGTTTTGGAAAGCAGCAATCACAGGTTCAACAACTTTTGCAACATCTTACGCAAAGGTACTGGAATATTAACTCTTTTCTTTATCGTACTCTCGCACCCCTCCTCAAACCAATTCATACGCAACTCTAGATTTTGAAAATTATTTTGGCCAGCAAGGCTCTCTGCCTTTGGACAGTCTGCCTCTGTAGGACACAGCTAATTCCTCTAAGCACTGTGCTCTTGACCACGGAAATCACAGATGATTTTGCTAGCAACCTTTGGAGGCAACCATCTGAGCCTTATTCTGTGCTGAGAGATCTCTGGACTCAAGACTGCTTTACTGAGAGCTATTCTTCCTAGGAAGAGGGAAGCAACCATTCTTCACATCAACTCATGAGATTTTCCTCCTAAATATCTTTTAATAGCTCAGAGGCATCTGTTGACTGGGAGAGAGAAAAAAACATCAGTGCAAACCAACTGCTGCTTGCATGTTGTTTGTGTACGCTGCCATAAACATCTTAACAATAATCTGCATCTTCCACACAGTTTAATTTTCTCCTGCAATCAAACCACCACTTCTTTGCAGCAGACTGAAATTACCACTGCCCTAGTGCCTGAAGTGCACTGTTGGGGTAATCCCCACTAAACCTCTTCCCCAGAGGATGGTTATCTTCACCCTGTGGAGAATGTGGAGGTCTAAGGTCAGGTTTAAGTTAACATTCCCTTCCTTTTTGGGGACCCCATTTGCAAAGCCTCTGAAATGTGACCGTACAGACAGTATTTGATGGTTGGAACAGATTACCTTAAAAATCCTCCTCAACCTTACTGGTTCTATTTTGTGACAGGGAATGGATGGGCACAGCGCCAGCGAGAATGTAAAACTAACCCTACTGTGAATTACAGACTAATTTATGCTAATATCTTGTAGGGACAGTGGTCAGCAAAACATTCTATGGATCAACTTTTTTTTTCCCACCCTACATCTTACCAAGCTATTGGGTTTTCCTCAGCATGGTAGAAAAAGAAAATTGAGTCTCAGGATTCCAGGAATGCTGGAGCTTTGAAAGAAAGTGCAAGACTGAGCAGAGAGTATGGATGGGACGCTGGGAATGCCTAACAGAAAATGATAGAACTCATCCCTGTGTTCCCTGTGTCCCAAGGATAGGACTGCCAGCAGCCTGGTAAATTAGTAAAAAGGCTAATAGGGTGTATACTTCAACATAAAGGATTGCAAGTCCTAGTGTACCATATCAGATACAACGTTCATCCCTTTTTCTTTAGATCAATACACAGTTTAGCTCGTTAATGACACAGCTCACCAATGAGCTCAGTGTCACCTGTGCCACCCAAAAGCATAGGTTAAGCTTTATTCCCCTATTTGATCACTTTTTCTTCTCATCAAGATGAGCATAATTCTGTGATTTCAGTACATTTTCACACGAACAGATGAGCTCACAATGTCTGCTATGGTACTAGTTAGTTCATCTGCCAACATGTACTTTAAACATCATCCTTAGCAGCAAAAGTTCTATTATTTTTATTTCTTCCACTTCAAACTCATTTCTCCAATTTTAAGCGTACATCTCAGGTTGTTTGTTTGTTTTTGAAGTCTTACCAGGAAGAGGGTGCTTTTATGTAAAAATACAAAAGCTATTTTCCCAGTAATTAGAACTAGATCTTTAATCCTTAATGCTGCCATAACTCACTGCTAAGTTCCACAATACACATCCGTCTCATACAAAAAGCTCCAAAGCACAGTAAACAACTTCAAGTTATGTTCTCAAAATAAGAGGATTTGCACTTTAGAAACACACACACACAAAAGCAGATGTTACAAACAATCCATTTATTGGGTCATAAACTACGTACACAATTGAAATAATAATTTTGGCACTACGCTATACAGTGGTTACATCTGTGTGCTGACACTCATTAAATACTGCACCAGGAACACTGCTGTGCTTTGAAGTTTGCAATGAGTCACACACTCAGCAGGTAGATCACTCGAAATGTACCAGTGCTCCTGTAGGGTTGCATGAAAGTTGAAACACACCAGCTTACACATTATTTCAATGTACCTCATGTTCTATGAGCTTATCACATCAGAACATGTGATGTCAGCATTTAGAGATGGCCACAAACGTTCATTAAAATCTGAATGAGACAGTAATGATGAGATACAAGAAAACTGAAACAAAACCTCTGCCTCTTAGACATGAAGAGATACTCTGTTAAAGAAAATAATTTAGAAAACTAATAATGGCATTTGATTTGATACAAAAGCCAGAACTACTACATTATTAACATCTAAGTATGAATCTTTACAAATTAATCTCACAATGGTATTATGTAAAAGGTTGCAAACTGTACAATGTTCTGTCAATGCAATGCCTCTACAATTTATACAGTCTTTTACAACTATGTAACACATATTAAACATGTTGTTAAATAGCCAATAGATAGTCTCTGAACAAAGCTGCAGGCAAAAAAAAAAAAAAAAATACAGAGCTTCCACAATCATTGAACAAGGTATGCTTGCTCAAACAGCAACAATCTTTATGAGCACACACTGTTAAAAACAGTCAGCCATTCAGTGCCTTTTCACACTGTGCATACAACTCATTCTGTAAATTCAACCACTGTTTCATAGTCCACAACTTCATACCATAGTTATGCAGAAACACCCAGAGTCTTTTAATCCTTAAAAATATGCAGATAATCATGGATTTTTATTCCACATGTGGACAAGCTATCTACGAAGACCTGGCCAGGCAGTAAGAGCTTTCACTTCCCCATTTTGTCTTGCCATAAATCTTCACTGCACAGACAAGACCAGCTATTTACATGTCAACAAGATAGAAAAAGGCAATCCTGTCCTGAGATGGATTGAATGATACAGAGCCCTTCACCTGGTGGGCACTCAAATCCGAGTAGTGAAAAATAAACTCTGAGAAAGATAGGTTCCTGGTCTTTTATGCTGATTAGATTACAAGATGCATCAACAGAACTGGAGAGCTTCACTGAGAATATTCTGATTTGCAGCACTCTCCGGTTCTGCTTATCTTTGATGTCAGGAAACAGCTGGGAAGAAGGGTCAGAAAAAGAGGGCAAGAAACGTGCTGTGTAAGTCACTGTGTGCAATAAAGCAGAAACAAGAGTGATATGTAATGCAGGCCAATGGCAAGGGGCTTGCAATAAACTCACAATCAGGATCTGCGAGCACTGTTACAGGAGACTCAGGGACTCCCACAGCTACTCCCTGGGGAGGTGAAATTCTCTTGAATAGAACCAGGTCCCTACATTTGCATTTAAAAGTGGTTTTGATTAGGCATCAGGATTTCGAATACAAAGCTTTCAACAACTTTTTTTCCAATTTGAGTATCCTTTATTTTGCAGAAAGGCTCCTACGAACTCATTCTTCCAGGAGAAATCTGAAATAAAAATAATTCAAAACAATTACTGCTTCATGCTATCACCACAGAATAAAACAAAACTGAAATTGTAATTTATCTCTAAATACTATCAAGACATCACAATACAGTAGAGCTCAGAGCCCTACAGCTTACAGAGAAAGTCTAGAAATAGATTCACTCTTCCTGGATCTGTCTGTGTGAAGAGACACCCAGTAGCAAAGCTCGCTCTGTGGAAGAGGGAACAGTTTGGTAGCAGTTGTTCCCTATCACAAGACCCAGCTGATAAACTGCTGGGTGACAGGCTCAGGTCCTCAGAGGCATCAGAAGAACAAAGCAGCAAGCACTCTGCTCTAGTGATAAACTGCCAGGCATTTAAAAGGCAAGCATCTGGCAAAAAATGGTGAAAGAGAAAGTCCATATTCAAAACAAGTGCGTGTATCCTACCAGAACACTAGGCTAGTACAGGGACACAAGTAGAAAATGGACAACAGTAGTTATCCCCCAAAAATCTGATGCTGAACAGATCACTGGAAGGGCAAGAGACTTACATCTGGCAACAGAATTTTACTTCCTACAATATGCTGGACTGGCAAGCTAGAGTAGATTTCCTAAGACTGATGTTTTTTGACAGGTTGATAGAAACAATCTTACCTACCTATGCATAATAGCACGGTGAAACCAAGAGGTCAGTAAGCACGAGTAGCTGGTCATCTGTGAACTGCTGTTTATGCTCCTGCCAGTTGTCGTGATGGGTCCTCCGGAAATTTGAGAGTGTTTTTTTCACAGTCATCTGCATAACAGTCAATCATAGTCATTTGTACCAGTTATAGATTTAAGCTCTGTGGCAAAACTAGTTTTAAAAATAGCAAAAATTAACTGCTGAATAGAGAAGCGCTCGAGCAGCCACAAAAACAAGAATGGCTCTCAAGAACTCAGTATTTTCCCAGGTCTAGTTATAGTCTTTTGACCAGCATCACTGGTCAACTCTAACACTCTTATAGAATGGATTCTTTGACATTCAGTTTTGAATTTGAAAAAAAAAAGATTTGAAGTGAAATGTTCTTTTTTTCCCCCTATTTGCTCATCCAGTTCCAACCCCCTGCTGTGTGCAGGGTCACCAACCAGCAGCCCAGGCTGCCCAGAGCCACATCCAGCCTGGCCTTGAATGCCTGCAGGGATGGGGCATCCACAGCCTCCTTGGGCAACCTGTTCCAGTGCCTCACCACCCTGTGTGTGTGACAAAAATCCTCCTGATATCTAACCTAAACCTCCCCTGTCTCAGTTTAAGACCATTCCCCCTTGTCCTATCACTGTCCACCCCATTATTTACTACATATAGCCAATTTAATATAATAACGAATAAGAAAGCAAGCAGCAGAAAGTTTCTAATAGCTTTTTTTTTTCTTTCTTTTTAAAGGAAAAGAGAACTAAAAATGAGTCGAACATATTTCAGATGTGCTATATTACTTGGGATTTTTACCTCAATAGGCTGAGGATCGTTGAGATGGGCACTGAGGTCCATTAAGAGCTGTGGCATCCAGGTGGGTACATCATAGGGACTTGACAAAATACAGGCGCTCAGTCCCAGCACACCAGCATGGCGTTTCACCAAGTCTGCAATCACACAACGCTCATTTATTTACATTTCTATTATCCGAGGCATTGCTCAAGCATCTAAGCTATTTCAGGTTATTTGCATAAAGAATGTAAGTATCTATAGAGCTCACGAGTAATATACAGTGCATCTCCACTGTTCCCTATTCCCGTGTTAAAAGAATGTTCTCTCCAGCAACAGAACTACTTGACGGGCTGGAAATCCAGTCCTCTTGAGTTAACAGAATGTGACCAGAGACATTAAACAGTTGGCCAGAAAGCAAAGTCCCTAATAAAGGACACAATAAGAAAGGGAACCTAAGTTGGGTGAGGTATGAAATTACGTTGTAGCAGCTACGGAATTTTCTTTACTAAGGAAACAGCTACCCCTCATCATCTTAACTACATGAAGTGCTTACATGGGCAATGGAGCCATCTCAAGTCTCAATTCTGGGAGAAGTAGTAAGTTAATTTAACCTAGGAATACACAGTGTTTTGGGTTTTTTTTTGTAACAGTAGTATTCTTACTTATAACGTAAATCAGACTCCCAAAGCACCTCAGAAGGATTAGGACTGCACCATACTACCCACAGAAATGGTAGAACCAGGTATAGAAGGAACAATTGTTTATTATGGATTACAGGCACTTAGAAATGAGAAATATTTGCATGGACAACCACCTTATGTTTCTCTAGGCCTATGTTTAATTTCTAAATACTTAACCATAGGATAAATCCAATTCCATCTGGAGTGCTTGCAGAACAAACACTTAAAGGTAGCAAGAGTTATTTATTTATTCTTAACCTGCTCCCAGAATGCATGGTTTTAGTCTCTGAAGCCATTTTCTTACCACCAGAAGGAATTGTATCCACAACTGAACCCAGGTCTCGCTTCCGCTTTTTTGGTAACCTCATCTTGCACAGCTGTTCAAAGTGGGTCTGCATGGGACCATCCATAGTGAGAAAATTGCACTGAAGAAGACCACTTAGTGTGGTAGCAGCCATTTCTCTCACCTACAACAGAGACAGTACATACTACAATTACTAAGCAAACATGCACAGCAAGAAACAAGTATCTATTACTACCACACTTTCAAGCACATCCAGGTAGGCCAGGTTACCAGTCTTTGACCAGGGAAAGTCTTAACATTTTTATCCTGTTGTCTCATAGATCGTATATTACTATTTAGCTACAAAGCTCTTTAGAAAATTAATGAACATAACTCTATTGCAATACAGAACTACCTCTACATCTCTCAGAGCAAATAATGTAATTTAGCTATTTCTTGACAATGAAGTTATCTCAGACTAGGTTAACCTTAGGTAGTCTGAAAATACTTTGAATGAAACCAAGATGAGCCATTCCAAAGAACATGCTATACAATTTTTTTTTTAATGGTCTTTGCATCAATGTTAGTTTTACCAAGTGGAAAAAAAACCAAAAAGGTATATTTAATTCAAAAGCATTCTTCCTCCCACCCCTCAAATGTGAAGACATCAGAATTGACAAAAGCAAAAGAATTTTTTCAACAGAAGGCACAAAGTATATTTACAGAATGTCACAGGTGGAACAGAATCAGCTTGAGTAACATAAGAATTCTTTGAGAATTTACAGGCTCTAGGTTAATAACCAACAACAACTAAACTTCAGTGGTTCACAGCTGACAGTTCTTTAATGCTCCAGCATTGCTTACTGGGTACCAGTTCTTTTGTTTTTTTGTTTTATTACTGGAATAAAAATGGAATCACTGCTTGGACAAATATTCCTCTAACACTGAAGCCCAAAGGAACAAAACCTAATGTAATTTTAACCTGCTGGCCAATTGATTTAAAATACAGATCTGCTTTTTAACTCCCTCTACTCTGCTATTGTATTACAAGCACAGACAACTCAATCACCCGCTTTCAAGCTATCAGTAATTACCAATTCACCTCATTTACTCAAATCTGACCAAAGCGTAACATACTTCAACTAGAAGACCATTGGATTCCTTCAAACTCACTTCCACTTTAAATGACTGCAGGCTGACAAAATCCTTGTAACATTTAGCAAACATTGAAAACTCAGTCGACTTGCTGAAACACTGATAGCTGTTGCCTGATTTCCTGCTAAGTACATACTGTTACAAATAACTGTAAACAGAACATTTGTCTATCTGAAGTACAAACATCTACCAATGCTCTGAATCCAGTACAGCAGATTATAATAAATTACATCCTTGAACACAATGTTCTGAACCTCCACAAAGCAGTAAGTATAGCTGCAAGTGCTACAATAATTAAACACAGTAAGTTAACAATAAGCTCTTGAGACTTCATGCCATTTAAATTTCTATGACATATTATCCAACCATGATTTCCTTTGTTAGCAGCATACAGAAATATGAACAGAAAGTCTGCCAGTATTGTTTAACAGCAATTTGTGAGTCTCTTAAGAACTAGGCTATTAAATGAAACATGAAGTGCTAATGCAAGACCCAAAATAGGCAGAAGCTTGGCTGTAAAGTGAGCAAGCTCCCAAGTGAGCTGCATTCATTTACACCATTATTGGCTGCATTAGAACCATTTTCATTTCTAAACTAATAATCTAAATAAAATGAATACTTTGTTGCAAGAAGCAGCTAGAAGCAAAGCTTTAAAAATCAGACTAAAAAACTAATCATGCATCACATCATCCAAATAATTTACAGACCATCATACTCGCATGATGGTCCACTGAATGCAAAAGCTACGTAGGAGTAGCAGAATATTTTCTTGGTAGTTGCTCAGAACTGACTGACCAAGATCTACAAAATCATGATAACATCAGAACGAAAGTTAACAGGAACAAGACAAACATCACTCAACAGCACAAGCAACACTTAAGTGCAGCACGTGCAGAAGAAAACTCACACATGGAAATATTCCAGTTACTGTAATACTGCAGTGTCATAAGAAAGGTGCTTATCAAGCCATGCATGTATTCTATGTATTCCATACATTGACTTATAAAAATAGAAACAAATTGAACACCTATCCACCACATAGATTCCTAGAGTAAATTCAAAACTGTAGAAAAGATGCTTCCATGTAAACTTGGTTATCCCTTGAAACATAACCTCAAGTTGAATACAGCCACTTGCACTTTTCCTTTACTTCTGACTGAGTAAATAGAACTGCAAATCATTCCTCCTGCTCTGATATGATGATTATATTTTGATGATATGAAAATCAGACACAATGTTTAGCAGTGGTTATACTTCTATACACAGAGACATGATTTTTCTGGAGTGTATATTCTTTCTCCTTGGCCAGCTAGAAGATCACATCAGGGTTTTTTTTTGTATTTGGGTTGTTTTTTTTCAGTCACTGTACTTCAACCAGGTTCATGATTCCCCTTTCACTTTAAGAAGACAGCTTTCCCACAATACAGCATCCTTTGATCCAGGAGACCTATGTTTGCAGCTGGATGCATGGAACCTGCATTCAAATAGTCACCCTGCTATTTGACATCCCATGTGGTCCCAGCCATTTGCCGAAGTCTTTTGCAATCATCTTTACTGACAAAAACCATGGTAAAGATACCCCACACCAACTAAAGCTAGGGGTTCTACTGAAATGATACTCGTGTTCAAAACCCAGCATCAGAGAATTCTCAATAAACACAGAAATTACTTTGCAAAATACTTCACCTTGTTCATTTTTGAAAATAATTGCCAAGATTCTTTTTTTCAGAGAAACATCCAAGCTTCCATAATAGCAATGTGATTATAAGTGGTTATGAACATAGGTAAAGCTTTTGATTTGCACCTCTGTTAGCACAGAGGAATAATTTTGTACATTTAAAACAGCTAAAGTGCATTAAAGTGAGTAAAAGGTATTTTTCAAAATTATATGAGATTATGAAGTGTTCTGACTTGCAGGCAACAACTTGGCTAGGATTTCCAGGCTTTGCTTTCAGTAGAACAAATAGTGACATGAAAGACATGAGAGATGATCTCAAGATTAATATTGGCATGATTGAGTGAATAATCTAAGTGTTCTTCTTTTTATGTCAAACATTTTCAGCCATAAGTATTCATTCATATATTTCAAATTATTTCCAATTCCCTGTTCACAAAAGAAAGCTTCACATCTCAGGTGTAACTGCTGCTTTTCATGTAACTTCAGGACGAACTGAAGTTCTGTTTGGGCAGAAGGGTATCATACTTCACTTTTCTCTTGTAGAAAGAAGAAAGCACCCAAGCAATCCAAAGATGGATTTCCCTGATGCTTTCTAACAATGCAAACAAAACAAAATGACAGTGAAAATGATGCTGCAGGGCAAGTTGAACAGATGGAAGGCTAACAATAAAGGCTCTTCAGTGCGCTTGAACACAACTAAACATTCTTAAACTAATTTCACTTAATGCAAGCCTTCACTTCTGTGCATTTGTTGTACAGAATAAAATATTTCCGTGATTCCTCTCCAGCTTTTGGAAGTCTGGCAAACAAGATGATGAGTCACACCAAGGCTGCCTTTCCCTCCCACTCCCCATTTTTATCTTTTATCTTCCAATCCTGATAGCACTTCTCACAGAGCATGCTGTACTGGAACACTCCAGGACCTTCAATAGTACACACGTACCAAAGCCAAGACTGTGGATGTTATCTCCTCCTGTCTGTACACAATGAAGTATGACTAGCTCAAGAAACTAAGAAAAAACTCCTAGGAGTGACAAGTATGATTCTATGATTCTATGTAAGGTTGCAAACGATTACCTTTTTGAATAATATAAGATCAGTAACAGCACGTGTTAGATTGCTTTGTTACACATGCAACTTTTCCAAAACTATGGAAAATCCACTAATTGCAAGCAAAGAAGTAATTATTTAGTCAGTGGGATGTAAAATGAATGTTTGTCATTAATTAGCTAATACAATTAAATGGGAAACAGATTTACAGAGTAATAAATAGTGGTTTTATAGAATTTTCAAACAGAAAGGTATTTCACCTTGTTGAAAATTAAGTTCCTACCAACACCCATGCTAGTATTTATAGAGGATGAGAGTACCACTGTTTCAGCTGTACTCAAAACTGAAAGTGATATTCAATTCCTTTTAAAAAGTATGAACAACTGAAATTTTAATCATTCTAAACAGCTGTTCTTCTGACAGAAGATTAAAGAAAAACAGAGTACAACAAATTCTATAAAGCTGTATATATTTTCACAACAGAAAGAATGCTATGCTAGAAATATCTTCTGTACTAACTTACACTGGTAGTTTTTGTTCATAAAACTTGACCAAGTTTTATGAACAACTGAAGAAACCAGTCACGTGAAGCTAAACAGCTGAGCAGAGATGTGACTTACTTCAAGTTGCTCATCTTCCAGGAGATTTATAACCAGCCATCTAATGTCATTGACTGCTTCTTCATTGTTGAGAAAGATGAAGAGATTGTAGAACACCATCGTCTGGAGGTAGGTTAATATGGTATACCTAGCATGCCAAGAATTGCTTCTTGCTGTCTACAAGGAAAAATAAGTAATATTACAAAACAAGAATATGAAGAAAAGTAAATAACATATGAAAAGCTAAAAATACTAAAAACCATCTGGGGAAAGCAAATAAGTAACTATTCTTTTCCAGATAATCTTTTTTCATGCTTAATTTCCAAATCATACAATTGTTTAAATAACAATTTATAATAATAAACAAACAAAACAACAAAAGCCACCACGAAATACATCAGATAACATGAAGCTTTGAGTTGTTTTGATCAGACTTACTTGTTTTAGCACCTGAAGTACCAAAGGCACTTGCTGAGGATACAGCAAACCCTGAGACATTAATGATAAACACATCTTTGCATCTCTTTTGAGTTCATCATAGCTATTGTCATTTTCCACTGGTGCAATCTGTAGAACAAGATCAAAGGGGAGGGAGGGAAGAACTTACATTGGTAATTAAGCACTGTTAACAGCAAAATGCTGAAAAAAAAAGTAAAAAAAAGTTTAATCTCATGAGAGAACAGTAAACTAGGAAAAAATCTGATCTATATTCTCAAACAATCTCTTGACATCTTTGTTCATCTCAGAAAAAGTGCACCTGGTAGAGTTAAGCATTTCTATTGCACCACATATTACTGATCTGAACTGTCTGAAGTTCTTGATGATTAAGTGGGTGTTTTTTAAGGCTTTAGTTCCCCACAGCAATTTGGTGTGAAATCCAATTTATGTATTATTTTAGATGTAGGTCAAGAATTGAAAGCTTTATTGTTATTTCAAGTTCATTCTTTGCATAAATAAGCCTCTTTTTGTGGTAATTTATATCACTGCTGGATAATTGGCTGATGCTTATTTAAAGCAAAACATGCTTTTGAGCATGCAAATATGCATTATTTCATAGATGTGGCATTAAATTACACAACTTTATTAAATAATACAAGGATTAGAAGTGCTACCACCTAGAAAGATCTGTTCAATCGTGAAACAAAAGAAGAAACTTAAGAGATAAAGGTTAGGATGGAAATAACATGCACTCATTCATGAATTTAACACACTTTTTCACCTGCAAGTAATAAAAATAGGGGACATTTCATCCTTAAGTCATTACTTTGAGAAAGCCACTTAGTAAACTAGATTTACCAACTGTAAGTGTACATAAGCATAAGAAAACATTTGGGTCTCATCAGTATGCATGCTTTCTGAAGCCATCATTGGTTTTCTTCTTAAATAAGATGCCCTTATAACTTTGGTTTACATTTAGCATCACTTTTTCCATCAAACATGACTAATATACAGCAGCAATTAATGCATATACCTTGAAAAATAAGGGTAAAAGCTGGAGTTGCTCTGTGACAGCTGTAGAGAAGGACCGTCCTGCACTTGCCATCAACCACTTCAGAACTGTTTTTAAAAAGAGAAATCATCACTGAACAAGGTAAATAACAATAATAATCTGACAAGAAATGATACACCAAGTTCTTTGCTAGAGTAGCACAGGAGATTGTTGTATATTACACTGAATCTGTGCTAGCAATTAGGTTTGACCCTCTGAAGTTGACTTTCAAGCTTCAGACCTGAAACAGTTACCGCCTTGTTACAGTATAGATCTGTGAACTGAAATTCTGTACTGCAGCTGTATGACCTGCAATCCTCAATCATCGTGTCCTAATATACGTCCATTTGTTAGCCTCATTAAGTAACTCACTCGTTTTCAAGAGTTTAATGCCCTGAGTTCTCTCATCTTGCTCTCCAATGCCATTCTCCTCCATAACGTGATTCTGAATCTCTTCATCTGCTTCCATGAGGGGTTTAAGATTTTCAAGTATTCGAGTAGTAAATTCATGGACACGAGGAGACTTAGTTGCAGCAGTATTTGGCAAGGAAACATCTATCATGAATATGTAGGTCAAAACACTAAGAAAGGCAAAGAAACAACATACAGTTAGCATGACTGTGGTTCAAAGAATGTAGCTAGAAGTGATCTTTTATACATTTGCTAAACTAATAAGTACTGAACATCAAAAGCACATTTCCTCCCATCCTGTTTAAAAACAAATGTTCTCCAAATACCCTCTTTGCAGATAATTGAAACAAGCAAGGCTAAACAGTCACTGAACTCTTCCTTCCCCTAAACAGATCTGCAAGTAGTTCTTAAACCACTAATACACTCTTTAAAGAACTCCCTGTATAATTATGTCTTACTAGCACTTGGGCAAAGTTAACTTGTTCCTAGGAGCTTTAGAAATCTCATACATAAAAATAACAGGCCATATACGTGAAGTAAAAATGGAGAATTCATCTTAAGTTTCTGAAGCAAGTTTGTCAACAATAACATAATTTCGATCCAGCAGAATTCACGCACACAAAGACAACAGTCACCACTTCAGTGTAGCTATTAAGATGCTCTATTACCAAAATATTATGAAAAGAAAAAAATAAATTGAACTGCAGGAGAGAACACTGACCTTCCTATTCTCTCTCGGACGTTTTTGTAAACCTGGGTGAGTTTAGGTTCCAAGTACTTTAACAGTCTGTGCAGCAGCTCTGGTACTCTCCATTCCTGCTGTGCAAGGCCACCTTGTAGCACATAAAGTCGGCTAGAAATCAGAACAAGACCTTTACAGTCATACCAAACCGTTTCTCCCTTCTCTAGCCACCCCAAAATCTTGTTTTCAGTGTAGAGTGTATGAAAGCACAGAAGTGTCTTTGTGTGGGTTGTGTGCATAGATGGGTTAACATCACAGAATGGAAGAACAGCACTGCTGTTATGCAGTTCCAAAACTTCACATTCTATTAACTAGATTTAAGGGCATGAAACTTGATGAATAAACTGCCATTGTGTTGGGAAACCTAACCAAGAAGGAACAGTTTTGCTTCTGCAAGCCAGCTGCCACAATATAGTCTCAGTGTATTTCATCCATGCTTTTATTGCCTTTATTCAGCCACAAACCGTTACAATTAATTTTACCATGCATCGACAAATGATCCTCCTTCACCGCTCAATGGAGATTCCAGCAGCAATTCAAATAACCAGTGCAGTTTCCTAGGATCTCTGCTCTCCTGAAAATAAGCAGGTATCAGAAATACAAAGCACATTAGGGGTTTTTATGTAAATACTGCATAAACAAGTTAAGTTTTGACAAAAATTTTATTTGCACAGCTTGGACTTATTTTTTAAGAAAGTGCAAGGTTAAATAGTTTTTCCACCACAAAATCCAATATGAAGAAAGTACAGTGAAACTACACACAAAAATAAGTTTTTAACTGCTTGGTAAACCAAGTAATGTAGAACAGAAGAAATGTTAGTTGTTTTTTTCTACATACATGAATAATCACATTTGACACAGGAATTTTACTAATTAACTGTCAGCATTTTGGGTGACAAGCGATGCTGAAATTTGCTGAGTGATTTCAGATTTTCTGATATTTGTGACCTCCATTCACTCTCCTCCTCAGACAGTCCTTAGCCCACCACAGTGCACAGAAATGCTACTTTGTTAGAAGATAACTGGCAAGTAATTTTTCACATCTGCACACTTCTGAAGCAAGAACGTGTAATTTGAACAACACTGCTCAGAGATAAACACAGTAAGAGCACACTTCTACGTCACCCATTATACTCATACAGCTCTTCTGAAGAGGTAGAAAATGAAGGCTTTATTTCCTTTCTGAAATGTTACATTTAACTAACTGCAATGAGCAGAAGAAAGTTACCTAAGCAGCTCTGAGATTTTCAATGGATGTTACTTTCATATTATATTTACAGCTCTTAGTTGTAGCTGATAAAATATATCCATGCACCACTATTATGAAACTCTTATTTGCGTATCTGTGAAATCTGATCATCCTGATGTAACTTTACAAAACTAAAGATGGACTACTTACACATGAGGTTGCTATGCACGTGCCCCAGTCGTTGTATGTTTCCACTGTAATGTTGGATAAAGCTGTTCGAAGCAATGGACAGAGAAGCTTCCAAAGTTTTTCCACCTGCTCAGCAAGAAGGCAAATCACAAGATTTGTCTAATTAATGGCTGCTTAAGCTGTGTGAACTCAATTCCTTCTATCTTCTCAAAACATGGGAAAAGATTACTTCTAGGAGCTGCTATTCTACAATATTTATAAAGGGAATAAGCATCAGAGCTAAGATTTCAGGAATGTATATATTTTTTGCAAAGTGTTTTGAAATACTGCAGGTTACGTGAGCACCCTATTCACAATGACTTAAACACAATCAGACTGCACACACTATTTAAATATCAGGCTATGCACACTTTGATTTTCGTAGGAGGGCTGTTTTATACACCTAAACCACTCCCTCCTCACTTTAGTTATTTATTTTCAAATGAAAACACTAATTCTCTCAGAATTATTTCTTAGCATAGAAATACCAGACATCAAAGTCCAGCTAAATAAGAATGTACAGGTCTGAGTTGAACATAAGCAGCACTTATTTCAATTGGAAAAATTACAGAAGATGTCAGCTTTGCTAAGACTTTAAAAGCTAACCTTTTTGTTTTACATTGTAGCATTTTGTTATCACCTACCATTATATAGACTCCCAACCAAGCTAGGAATGCAATGGACCATTACAAGCAGCTTCTTCCAGCCCTTTCTTGGACTTCAATGACATATCAACAGCCCTCAAATTTCATAGGTCGAATGCATTTAATAATTCAAGCTTATCCCTTAACTGTCAAGAGCCACTCAAAAAATACTACTACAGCACCTTCTCAAACGTCCAGTGTTTAGAACCTCTTATCAAGCCAGCTATAATTTCAGCAACACATCTCTGGGTGCTTTCATGGGAGTCTGACACAAGGCGTTCCAAATGGGGCTGCAGAACTGGCAAAAAGGCATCATCAAAGTTTCTAAAAAGGCCCTGTAAAAGACAATGTGAAAGTGCTTTCACTCATTATCAGTCTAAACTATTGTCTTTGTAACAACATATGACAATAAAGAACTTCAGATTTGAATATGCAGAAAGTGAAATTACAATGCTTTTATAATATAATTACATATTGCATCCTACAGACTTCCAAATTACTCTTTCCACAAGTAGTTCAAAAGAAAGGGTTAATGGAATTAAGCACAGCAACATATATATTTCCCAACAGTAAGACACAAGATGTGTGTGACTTTTTCAGACTGGGATAATTATCTGCAAAAAGGAATTCAATTTAGTTATGGAACTCCATTTACCTTGAAGAGGCAAAATCTGCGAGGATTAAATTTGTCTTTTCCTTTTCTGTCTTCTAAAGACAGAAATTTTATTAACTGCTCAACAAACTTGGGATCAGAAAAATGATCATATATAATTTGTTCTGCCTGAAAAAGAAGAAAAAGAGGATTAGCTTTGCAGTGTTTCATCACCACAGTGATACCACAATCTTTTCAAGAGCTATTTCTACTTCTGGCAGAAAACATGCCTGGATTATCCATTTCTCTCTTTAGTTTTAAAGAGAATATCATTTGTAATGTTTTTGGTGCCACCTAATTTTTAATCCTATTAATGACTTCAGATCATCTTTCCTCTCACTTGCACAACCCCTACAAAGAAGTAATTCCCACTGTCATTAATTACCTTGTACCAAAATCTGATAAAGATCTGAAAGTTAACAATGACATTCTCATTAACAGTTACGCTACGATCACTGATAGAGAGAATGCAATGTATATAAAGTAATTTCTTATATGCTAACACAGCTGGTATGAAAATTAAGTAGAAAAATGCTTTTAAAAATGCTTTTTGAGGATCTAGGCTTCAGAACAAGCATCACTTATGGCTGGTTAACAACACGATTACAACCATGACACAGTATTTGAGTTCAATCTCCATCTTTTCAATCAAGCAAGTGTTTCCAGATATCCTATGTAAGCATTTTCCAAATAAAATACCTAGGCTAAAACAGAGAATTTCATCTCCACAACTACATAAATCAGTGGACAGTATTTAAAAAGAGTAGATAGAAAGAAAGAGTAAAAAGGAGAAGTAATATTAAGAAAATCCACACAAACAAAATTCACTAAAATCTTTACCTCCGTCAATTCATCTCTTCTTCGTCCAAGCTTTGGTTGTTGCTCAACTGGAGCATAAACTGTCATTGTCCTGGACATTAAAAAAAAAAAAGGTAATGTTTCTAAGTAAAAGTTATCATCATTCTGTGTCCGCTATATTAAAAATAGGATTTATTGACTTCAAGAAAGCAAAACTTGCAAGAAAATTTACAGGAAAAATTAAGCCTATAATGACAATGGTATTGCTACATAGCAAGCAATCCAGAACTATTAGTGATAGACTGCTACACATGTTTAGAAATCATGTTATTTTCAAATATCCATTTTTACTTTTAAACCAGCGTATAATTTTGATGGAAGAAGTTAAATAGTAATAAATAGTAAGCACTTATAGCACCCACAAAACCTAAGAACACCAAGTAGGAACTGAAAAAACACAAAGGTAGCAAAAAGAAAAACTAAGTAAAGGATAAATAATTTGTTGTTACTTTTGTTCAATCAAAAAAAAAAAAAATCTAATATACATTACTTAAATTCTCTGTTTTTTCCTGCTGAATTTCATAATCAGAGTTAATGCATCTGGTTAACAGTACTCACTGAGGCCACGTGTAATACCCCCAGTGTGTCTTCTCCACAAAACAGCACGACTCCCATGCCTCCTTAGTCTTTGGTAAGCTCCGACTGTCATAGTGCAGCCACTGGTTATCCAGTCTGTCACCAGCCTGAATACTAGAAGGCTTAGGGGTTCCACCTAGTTCAAGAGTAATTTAGGTTGTATCAAAATTGTTCACTAACAGTTCCAGTAAACATTGCAATTTATTTAATTTAAGGTCAGAGTTTTTCCCCATCAAATCTGTACCAAGATTTGCTCTGTGAGATTAAAAGCAGCATCAATAGAAACAGCAGAAATTCCTTTATGAATTTAAATAAACATGCCATTTGAAATGCTGAGACAAAGAAGGTATACAAGTCATTCTCACAAAGTACAAGGCTTTCTGAAAGGAGAATGACCAGAACCATATCTCTGAAGTTTTAACTCACTAGAAGTAAGTGAATAGTTTAATATATACGAGTACACAATGATACACATAATATTTACAACACATAAAGTATATTAATACATAATAATACATACATAATGCTTCTAAAAAAGACAAAAAATTTACTGTTTAGCATCACCTATTTTGTTTGAATGGGACATTAACCAGAGTGAAATGAAAAACTTGAGATTCCATGTTGAATTTAAACAGGTTCTTTAGATTTTTCTGTTTAAATCTCATTTTTTATTTTAAATAAAACTTACTTATTTCATATGGGCATATGGGCACTTTCTTATGCGTTCTCTTGAGCTGCTTAAGAACACCAGCCACAGCTGAGATGGCCACCTAGAAGACAGAAGCAGGCATGACCGCATCCATTTCATACATTTACCACCAGAAGGCTGTTTCACCATCTCATCAGACATAGTTTAAGCCAGCTTCTCTGCCCTAAAAAGCCAACAAACACTGCAGCTAACTTCACCACACTAGTGGTTGCAGTTCTAGTCATTCAGCAGACAGGAATCAAGTGTGGCATTTGTAGAGCACCAACATCTTCCCATTCCACAAGGAGGTGGCCATTACCTTCAAGTCTCACCAAGGAGACAAGCAGAATGAAAGGTGCAAGCACAGAACAGATGAAACTGTTTCAAATAATAAGCTACAGATGCAAAAAAAACCCCACATACATAAAAGGATCCTGAACTAAATAAATACAAATGAGCACGTTTCATGTTTTCACAGTTTACAGACTTCCCATCATTTAGTGTAGCTCTAGCATCACCGAGACTCTTGGATTAGAAGCTTTTAAATACATAAATGTGTGGAAGGTGGGTAGGGGTGCACGCCCCAGTTTTTGTACTGCATCACAGCAGAACAGCAAACATCTGTGCTAAAACCCATTGGGCTGCAAAACAAAGAGGTAGTTATGTTGGTCTTACCTTACGAACTACAATTGCATCATGGTTGAGACACTGCACAAAAAATCTTATGGCACGGACAGGCAGTATCCTATCATCCCTCAGGAGCAGGGACAGAAAGCCAATACTGATGTGCTCAAACTTCCAGGGACTGAAAAATCAAAGCAGACAGTACGTAGCAGAGTTTTGCATGCACTGCTCTTGCACAGAAATGATCACACAGGTTATGTACATATAGAACATGACTTAACATCAGTCTGAATATATGTCACTGCTATAGTCAGTGAGCTCCACTGACAGCTAGGGAAATCTTCAACAGCTCTGGGAACAAGTGCAACTAAAATTACACCCAGTTGAAATGCCAGGATTAAAATGGCACCACTAATGTAGAATACTGACCCAAAAGGTCATTCTTTTAAAGGTTTTTATTTTTTAATATGATGCCACCAATTAAAATCTATTTGGACATCAGTATTATGCAAACATTTCTTTCCCACAACAATAAACAGCAACAAAAATATATATCTTAATCAATGACAAAGCTGAACCCCAGGATGTAACATATAAGTCTAAATCTCAAAGAGAATAAATTCATTTACCTGGGAGACAGTAATGCAACATTCCCCTATACAGTCTGTTATGTTTCAGTGTGGACAAACAGAACCCACACATAAATTCAAAAAGGCCTCCCAGTTCTTGCATGTACTTTTACAAAACAACAACAACAAAACCAAATAAACAACCAACAACCTTCCAAGCTAGCCACAACCAACTTTATGCAAGATTTCTACTGACAAACTGCTTTTGGACAACTACCTGAAGGGCAAAAAGAATTACCCAATTCTGGTCATTTTAATTGCACCTTTTGATGGAATTGATATTTATTCTTACATTCAACTCCAATCCACCATAAAGAAATAAAACAATTCAAACACATGAAGGGAGACTTACAGATTTCTTTGTTCCACACAGTCCAACAGCATGTTGACCAAATTTTCGTAGTTTCTAGGCATATCAGAAGAAAAAAAAAAAGGAACAAAAAACCAATAATCAACCAGATGCTATTAAAAGAATTACACAAAAGTAGATTAAAAGACCCTCACCAAAAGGTGAGTGAACACAACGCAGCAAACACAGCACCAATTGGCAGGACAGGGAAAAAGAGGAGGAAGGAATCCAAGTGTAGAGGAGAGAGGCTGCCACTCCAAGAGAAAAGACTCATCATAACAATTCTTGGACTCTCCCTATTTATCTATTTGAGATGAGTCCAGCAATTTTGGATTACTGATGTACAGTTAGTACTAAACAGTACAAACCAGTGATGAGGGAGGTTTAACTTACCGCAGAGCCTCAGCATTCTTTTCTTTCTGCCTCTGAATCCCTAGCTGTATTTCTTCTGAACGAAGTGGTGTGAAATCTAAACTGGGATGTCCTGATCTCTGCAGCATAACAGCTATCTCAATACATTTCTCTGGAACCTATTGATAGAAAAATGCACAGATTTCAATCTGAGAAGCAATTGCAAAATTTTTGTCTTTGTTTCTGCTTTGAAATATGGAGGCTTGAGAATCATAGGAAGAATATATCATTTCCTGTCTGCATAGATGAGTCCTTGAAGTAGTGAAGATAACTGTTCACACATCAGAATTTTTTCTTGCAAGTACATATTTTATTTTAAAATTAAAGACACGCTTTAGAAACTATTTTTATAAATTAATATATTAAAATATTAAAGACTTCTATTAATTATCACTCATTGTTAAAAATAAATCATGCCATTTATTGATTAGGAAAAAGGGAATTCTGCAAATCTGTACAGTATGGCCATAGCTACACATACTGATAAGGTTAATTTGACTACTTTGTTTTACCAGTACATATATTTATATCTGATCAGCAAGAAGCATACTAATTAACACTGGAAAACTACTTCAACTTCCTTTTCATAAGGAAGCTTAACAAAAAGTTACACTTTCCAGTAATAATGCTTCAATTTAAAAGACACAGGTCTACATTCCTCTGTAACAGAAATCAGAACAGAATCAACATCAGAATGCTAGTTTAGATCATGTGAATGAGTCTCAAACTTTTGTGTCATCAGATGCACTGAGAATCCAAGCCATTAACTCCAAGCAATCTGTCACTTACTGCAAAATCCAATCCGATTGTTTCATACTGCCTGTGGATTTTTTCTGCTAGGTCATCAAAAAGTCTGACTATGGATGGCTTTTCCAAGGACATTGCTTGGCTAAGCCCAGAAGAAACGATTGCTGGCCACGTCTGTGCAATGCAGTCCCAATCATGAAGATTTGCCAAACATACTCCACTGTGATTTCCAAGAAGACAATATAAGGCACCCTATAAAATTAAAGATACAATTTTTAAATAAATGTAAAGCACTGTTCATATAAGATATCTACATGTGTTCACCCACACAAGACAAAAATTAATCTTCACATTACCAAATCATTAATATGCCATTGCACAGCCTCAGTGACAAAAAAACTGAATATTTTTTGAAATCATTTTTGTGCTAAAGAAATGTTCTAACAAAATTACACGTCCTGACAATTAACTACTTCACAAAACAGAAACCTGACTGTTGAATTACATTACAGAACAAATTACTAAATGATCCAGTATAACACCTGTTTTTTCTGTAAACATATTCACATCTGGCTGCACTAAAAAACGTCAGGGCTACAGGCTGCTGACTAAGCCCAGACCTGAAACTGCTGACCAAGCATGATGTGGATGTAACAGTTGTGTGAGAAGTTGACAAGAGTTGTGAAACCAAGAGTGGCTGGATTTCACAGGTGATTAAATTGGAGCTTCATGAGAAATTGCCTAATTTCACAGGTAATTGGAAGGAAGTCTTGGGAACCTTACTGGGGAGTAAAGTCTTAGGAGGAATAGTACCTAGCTCACCATGGCAGTAATACTGAACAGGCTAAGCCTAGGTAGGTAGCAGTATCAGAAATGCCAAATTGTAGTACTGCAGCAAATGCTGTAATGCAGGAAGACTGGGATCAACTGGAATAAAGTAACTAAGTTTGGCTTCCTTATTAAAAATGACAATAAGCTATGTAAGCAATATAATCACACGCTGTCTGACATTACATATCAGGCAGGTAAAGTAGGATGAGAAGCTGAGATCTGTTGCTCTGATCATACAACAAGAATCCAAACTTGTCTCTGAGGTCAAAAAGAGTGAGGAGGTGCAGGGTAAGGGAGGGAGCACAATGCTTCCTTGGCCAGGAAGGGAAAACCTGCACAGACACTGCATCAGCACCATTTCCAGACAACATCAGAAGTTACCTGCTTTTACTAAAATGTTTTTCGGTGATCATTTTTTTGTCCAGTTTGAGTTATCCATTTCTACTGTTAGAGCTGACTGAACTGCTCAGAGAGTTTTACAGCTTTGCACTACAGCTTCCTCAACTTCCATTAAAAATAGCTGCTAACATTCGCTTTTGTAATACCTGATCACACAATGAAATTAGGAACAAACAAAATTTCTTCTGACAACGCATTTAACCCAAATAATTGTTTATATTAGTTGTGCTTAAGCTATGTGCCACAGAACTGTAAGGGTCATGCTTGTAAAAAAATCAATAATTCCCCTGTAAATACACTTTCAAAGACAGGCATGAAACAAAGTTAATGAGACAGTACTTTGAATTGCTGTTGAGTGACATCTTGCCGATCTGGACGCAAGAACTCCAAAACCAAGGGAATGATATCTCTGCAGCAAAAATTGTATGTTCCCAAAGCTGTGAAGAATGCTTGCTGAGCTTTACTTCTGACCTGTGGGAAGACAGAAATCACTAGAAAATCTTCTGAACCAAAAATATACGCTACATCAATTTGTTTTGTAAGGGTGCTGCTATTTTACCTATGCAGAATTTACAAGATTGATTTGTGCACTCAAGCATGTTACTTGTTGTAGATGTTAAACAACATGCTTCCCCTCATCCTTACAACTGTATCTAAATAAACATGTTTCAAGACTTTATTTGAGAAGAGCTAAAAAGTTCTTTATACTGCCAAAAATGGCCACTATATCTTTTAGATCACTTCAAAAGCAAACAGCCAGCATAACGGATGCTATATGCAGAACTCTAAAGAGCCTGTAGACATTGTGGATGGATTTGAATTTATATATACATGGAATTCCCACGGGGCTAAGAATTCATAGTGCAACCACTGGCACATCTGTTTTGTTGTTGTTTTTTTTTTTTCCAGATTTTATTATTATTATTTAAAAATTAGCTTGCCTACTTCCTAAAAACAGATTTAGGAACCCAGTGTTATTAATCATATTGGAAATATCACATCTAAAGCCTCAAGCTAGCATATTTTTAAATGAAATTATTTGTTGAATTATTGTTTTTGAAATCTAGAAAGCAAGCTCAAAAATGTGTAGCCTTTAAGCTACTTTCCACCCATCCTTAATTTGATGAAGAGTGGACTATGTTAAAATTGGTAACTAACATAAATGAAGTAACTAAAAGCTTCATATTGCCATGAAAATGAATTGAAAAGCAAAAAAAGTATTAGAAAAAAGATCAACACAATATTTCAGAACTACAAAAGATGGTTACTTACCTGACCATATGAGCTTGTGGACAAACAAAGAAGATCTCTGATCATCTCCTGGTGGGAGGTTTTATATTCACAGCCTTCCATTGTTAGTGTTCTCAACTAAATTATATTAAGAACACAAATAAAGGATTATTTTTAGACTTTAATAATGTCAGTGAAACAATAGTGAAGGATCACTGCAACTTTAACTAAATGACAATATAACAAATCAGCTTTTCTAGTAAATGGGTTAGTAATATTATTAAGTGAAAGTATTACCTCATGCTGCAACATAACTCTGTCTATCAGCAAAGCTCTGATATGCTGTTTCTTTCCTTGAAGCTGGAAGGAAATACATAACTGGGTTTAGATTTCAATATTCACACAGCAGCCTGTACTGACTGAATTTCCACCTGGTACTTTTAATTTAATGTAGTAAATTGTGAGAATATATTGTTTTTTTTCCCCCCTCAGGTAAAGGTTTTCATTTACCTATTTTCATTTACTCTGGGAATAAATTCCCTTTGTAAGCAAAAGGAAGCTCTGGTCACACAAATTACTCTGTTAACAACTATCAGAGCAGAGCATCATGCCAAGACTCAGACTCTGGTCTAAGGATGCTAACTGCTTACACCCTGGGTTACAATTCCAAAATGCTAAGCATAAGATTTCCAAATAAAAATACAAACATATTACAAAACAATATTCTTCCACAGAATTTCAAAAATCATGAAAATTTTCATTAGGACTGTAAAGAAAATGTGGAAAAAGCCTTCCTGAGCATTAGTAACTATTCTCCCCACACACTTAAAGAATTACTGACCCTGTTCTCCATTGATTTTTTCACTAGGTTAAAGCTTTTCCATCGGGAATCGAATTCATGTTTGTGAGACCCTTGGAACTGCAAAACATCACTAATTATCTGCAGAAAAAAAAAGATGAGAATTAATAATCATCCTCCAAAGTCAAGTCATCTTGTTTGCAAAATAAGAAGTGTGTCATATCTTAAATACTACAAATAATAAATATACCTTTATTATTAGAAATAAAGACTTGGTATCATCTTCTGAATTATCAAGTATGTAACCTGCAATTTGGAGAAAAGAAATGTATAATCATATAGGAAAAGAGCTTTCAAATAAACAATTTCTATAAAGCTTAAGTATTACAAGCAAAGTAAAGGAAACAAGTTTCTTACATTAAACTTAAAATAAAAACCACCATACTTCTTATATAAAGGTTGAATCCTTATACTTACGTAACAATTTCCTTGTAACCCTTGCAATAGTTTCACGATAATTCTCTCTTGATAAATCTGTACAAAATTAAACATATTCTTTATTATAAAAACAAAAATCAATACTGAAGTGCATCAGCAGAAACCTGGAGCAGACTACTCAGAAAACACAGTACAGATCATTGGACTTTCCTCCTCTGCCTTGGTAGATGGTTTCACTTAACCACAGAATAAGGCAGATTGTTTAACATATGAAAATTAATGAGTTACACACTAAGCAGGGTAAAAGAGAAAGCCAAAAGAACACAGATGATAGATCTCAGGGGATTAAGCTGATACAAGACTGGGGATTTATTCCCCTTCAATGAATAGAGGAAAAGACAGCTCCGATCTGAATAAGAACAAAAATACAGAATCAAAAAACAGGCTCAATAACATGAGCAAGTTCCTTGGATAAAACCAGGATAATCTTGAATTGATCTAAAAGATGACTAATTTAAAGCCCATTCTCTATTACACATCTTACACGGCCACAAACTCAACTGCTTGTAAATTAACTGACCAGATTTCAAAGCAACTATAATCAATCATCTGAAAAGCAGTTACTGTGCCTCCGACTGTTATTTAAACTTTCCAACTTGGAAGATAGTAAAGAACACAATAAAGCCCGAGGACAAAGCTACTCCGTCAACTTTGATGTTTCAGACTCTAAAGAATTGGACTCAAATAATCCTTTACCACTGAAGTATGACTATTAAGTGCCCAGATTGTGTGACTGACCCTTTGATCTTCGAGCAGTTTACTCAGTCTTCAAATGTACTAGAAAGGCAGAAGGGAAAACTATGTGATGCTTCCTTCCACTATGCCAATGACTAGTAACTGTTTTAATAGCAATGTTCCTTTTGTAAATGAACCACAGAAGCCTCCAATACTCCAGTGTTTATTTCATATTTATGTCTTTACCATAGCTGAAGATAAAATGGAGTGCGCACAAATATCCCATGTTGGCCCAAGAAAGCTCTTTAATACAGAGAATAATCAAAACTATGCTTTCAAGAAGAATCTACAGCTTTCACAGGTGGGTAGAGATGGGAAAACAACACTTTGAGCCTGTTTGAGCAGAATTAGTTTCTACTTACCATATTCAACACCCGTGTACAGTTTTGTCTCTTCCAAAGATACCAGACTTGGTACCCTGCATGAAAACAAACCAAATATTACTACACAGCATGGAAATCACCAACTACACGGACTTTAGTGACATTTAATTAATTTTAACAAGCTAAATTTCATGTTGGTAGTTCCAAAAAGGTTTGGGTTAACTAAGTGTACACCTTAGTTCTCTAACAGTTATTAGGAAATCCTACTAATGTGTCAGACTGTATCAGAGACAAGTACACTGTAACAATACTTGGAACCCACAATCCTGATTTTTCATTTATCAGAAACTCAGTATCTGTCAAACCTATGATCACACTCATCATAACAAGCAAGGCTGCCAGCCATCTTAGGCAAGGAAGGCCAGAAGAATTTGACTGTTGAATGGCAAAGGACTGAAGCAAAGTCCTTTGCTGACAGGTTAAGCTGATGGAGCTCTTCTGACTCTGGTCCCCATAATCTACAGGAACTACACTTGTTATTTCAAGTTCATAATCAATAACTCTATAACTATGGAAAAAAAAAACATACTTTTTCCAGGATTTTTTTTTAAAGTATATTTTTGAACCTTATTTACTTCATATATAACCACCATGAAGTACAAATTCAGACATCATATTGTGCTAATGAATGTAAATGAAATAAGAAAAGAAAGCATAGGGTATGTTAACTACCTTTTTTCTCCTCTACTGCATTACTATGAACAAATTCAGGCTTTTAATGACAAACTATTCCAACGTGCTTTGGAAAGAAAGTCAGGAGTAAAAAGTACCACTGTAATATTGAACAATATCAGCAAGTAATCCCTATAAAAAGAAATTTTTCACAAAAATTGCATCAACAGTACCATCACAGTAAACAAAGCTAAGTGATGCAGTGTACAGTGATGTAGTGATGCAGTGTACAGTGATGCAGTACTCCTATTACAGATGCTAAATAACACATCAGAAACACCTGGTTCTACATCTGAGCACTCCCTACCAGATACTAGGATAAGATTTCAGACTTTCAGGCAACTGAAAAATTCTACCTGTCAGAACTAGAAAACAGGTTTATTTCTTCTCTGAAAAAAAAAAAAAAAAAAAAAAAGCAACTCATTAAAAACATGACTGCTGCAATTACTATACTGATTTGATAGAGGGGTGCAAATCTCAAGACAAACCTTGCAAGCAGAGATTATATAAACAGACTTCTCAGCTCTTGCAATGGTCAAATCTGGACCAACAGAAGTCAAATCGAAACATCTTTTTCTTAATGATTTGGGCATGAACAGGCAAGTCATTTCCTTTTCCTTACTGTATTTTCCAGTACCACTAAGTAACTTGAAAACAAACCGTTCTGGAAGCTTCCCCCCCCCCCCCCCCCCCCAAATCTGCATTATTCTGGGTGCTCAAAAAATAAATTGACCGCTAATACAATTTCCAAAATATCTAATCTAAATTCAGTCCTTTAGGCCACAAACAATTTTTTAACAAAGATTCTGTGGTCTCAAATCTGCTCTTAGAATCTACATGATTGACTTAGAAAAATGTTTGTTGGAACTGCTCCAAGATCAGGTCTTTCAAGGTGGGAAAGATACAGGAAAGTGACAGTCCTAAGATTAGTATCTTGAAAGAGGGGTGGGAGAAAAAAAGTGAATCTTCCTACCACAAATACTTCTTAAAAGAAATGTAACAGATAAATTAACAATCTCAGGCAGAGAGACACTAAGTAATTATTTGTACAGCATGCTGGATATGCTGGTAGGTAAATGAGCTCACAGCAGCATGGTTTTCTCAAGCATCTTAATACATTTTTATCTTTAAACAGCCCTCCCTGATAAGAATTAAGTTCACATACAGCTGTTCTATCCATGAGGCAGCAAGGAAAATTCAAGTGTGATTTAACAGGTTTCCCTCTGCTGGCCTACAGAGACTACAGTTTTTTTAGCTTTCCTTCAGCTGTTCTTTACCAGCCAAATATCCAGCATTTAAAACCAAGCAAAAACAGGATCTCTCTGCCCTCCAGGCAGAAGGCAGCAGACCAGGAGCAACAAGTCAACTGAGAGTGCTGTGCAACCCTGACCCAGCCTGGGTCTGCTCCCACCAACCGTGACATCGTTCCACATGCAGAACCATTCATTTCAGTAGGGTTGCTAGTAGGGTGAAAATCCCTTATTCAAAATGCAACGAAGTTTTCTAGTTGGCCAACTAAAAAGATCTATGCCACCACACTCTGCATTTCAAGCACTGGTCAGAGAAAGGCTTGGATTAAGGCTTTGCCTGGGACATACCAAAGGAAACAACGTGTTTTCCATAAGCATGCAGTCAATACCCATAGCAAGATTCTCATTGCAATACTTCATGCAGTGTACAAATAACACCACGCTTCATTTCATATCAACACAAATTGCCAAGAAAGCTTAAGGGCAAAGAGTGTCCACAACTATGGCTAGAAGAAAAATTCCAACTAAGCAGAACTTTGAGGAATTCATTCCCTTATTCGCTACAGCGCAAATCCATAAGCATCTTCATCTGAGAACAACACTATGTTTATACAGCTTCCAGACATTTCACTGAGCATTTTACTCAAGTGTCTGTAGGCATCTTCCTCAGCAAGACTTCAGCAGTAAGATACAGCTTTTCAGAAACAAAACTTTCCAGCATCACTCCATGGAAGCAATTACATACTGCACCACAGAATCACGAAGGTTGGAAAAGAACCACTAAGATCATCTAGTCCAACCACCAAGCCATCATCACCATGCCCACTAAATGGGCACCGTGTCTCTCAGTGCAACATCTACCCTTTTCTTGAAAACCTCAAGGGACAGTGACTCCACCACCTCCCTGGGCAGCCTGTTCCATCCTAACTAACCAAGCTGAATTTAAGAGGTGGTGAAAAGGTGACTAACCCTGTTTCTGCATCCCTAAAGCAGCAGCTGAGGATTACCTGGTTTATATGCAGGCAGCAAGAATGGGAAGCGAACAGGAACTCAACCAAACATCAGTGAAGGATTTTTCAACCTCTAAAAGCTTTATATTCTTTGCATCTGGAAAAATCTCTACTTGCACACCATTACATTTGCATGTACATTTGCATTACATTGTTGTAATGACTTGCACAGTCATTACAACAGGAAAAAAAACATTGACATTATTGTCAACTACAGCAGACTCTTAGGGAAAAGGGGAGACTGCTTGCACAGAAGCATTACGTGTGCCTACACACACTCCGTACAGCAGGGCAGCCATCACACTGTTTCTGCCAGCATGGAAAAAAGCAGATGCCATTTTTCCACACCTGTGACAGGTTAATTCACTGCAACACTGACCAGCTACATCAAAACCTCCTGCTATCACAAAGGATTGCTGCTTGCAACCTCCTCAATTCTTTTCTTCCCTTTGCCTTTTAGAATAGCATGAGTTATTTTTTTAGTTAAGCTCTGATGGTTATTTTCAGAAAGATGTAAATGATTTCTGTAAATTATAGAAATAAGCAGGGGAATTTTGCTCACAAACTTGGGCAAAAAATGTGGCAGAGAGAGGGAAATCATACAAACTACCCACTGCTTGGTCTCAGAAAATGCTGGAGCATTATGAAAGCCAAACCATATAAGCTCAAGTTCACTAAATAAAGCAATCACTCTTAACACTTCATAGCAACATGAGCATACATACACACAGGCCAAGTGTATGTTTTTGGGTCCACCAAGTGCATTCAGTACCAAACCCACTGCTTTTCCTGTTCAGAGACTCCCAGTCAAAAGGTTTTAAAAAAAGGAAGCTAATAAATCAGTATGAAAACATTAACCTAGATTGGCAGGAGACTCAAGAAGGCTCGAGCCAACGTACATACTTGGAGATAAACAGTAGGTTTGAAGTATTTAGCTAGCATTTATCAAGCACTGTAAATAAAAACAAAGCTTTTTAACACGAAGAAAATAGAAACAGAAAAGCTTTGTATGTTAACTATTCAAGAAGCAAATCCATTTCCAACCAACACAAACTGCTAGGGATACAAAACAAAGGCTCTTCTTAGCAAGGAGAAATATTAAAGAACAATAATGTTCTGAAATTGAGTACTCCCAGTTGCTCAATGTTGGGGAACAACAAAATCTATTGGGAAGTCTCTAGACTGAATCAAACGATTTTTTTTTACAGAAAACTTTTCATTCCTGAAGTGAACGGTGTAACAGATGAACCTTAATCAACATCCTTCCATGAAAATAACTGTAATGCAACCTCTGTGATCAAACAAAAGAGTCATACTGTTAACCTGGGATGGCAGGAAAACATGTTAGGCTTCTTTCCAAATATTACTAGAGAGGTCTTGCATTTGCAATAGATGTTTTCCTACTGTAAAACAGCTTCAAAAAAATGATAGCAGCAACAACCACCCAGCAGGAAATGGCTTCAGTGTCAGTGGAAAGCAGCCTGCTGTATTTGTGGCTGCAATTTGTTTTTTCAAGGTTTAGGACAGGAAGGCAGACTCACTGCTTCTACCAGAACAGTGATCAAGCAGTGCCTCTCAGCCCTCCTGGGGACTGCCTCATTTATGTAATAACACTACAAATTGAAATTTACCTTTAAAAAAACAAAACCAAACTCCTCATGAGAATTCTATGCTACACCACAGGTCAATTACACCAACCAGTAATGAAATGAGCATCCAGCCATGCTGTGGCATCTGTGACAAACGGTCAAGATAAAATTTCTGTAATTAGCTTCCTGTATTACTTAAGTTAGAAAACACTGATTAATTCCTCACTCATTTAAATCATCTTGCTTCATACCACACACACGGTTATGACTAAGTCAGTTAAATTAATTAGCAAATTAAATCAATTAAAACGTATGAAAGCTGCTTATAAACACCAACAATAGTAAGGCTGAGACAGTTGTAATATAGCAGCTATTTATTTGCATTTTACTAACTGGATGTCCTTTAACAAAACATACCTATGCATGAAGGCCAAAAGGTATCAGTATATTTTAGCTTTACAAATAAATAATTAAATATATTGATTAAATATCTCTTCTCCTTTCTTCTTCACTCCTGCCACTGCCTTCCCCAGGGCCACCTGCACGAGGCTGCAAACAGATCCCCAGATCAGGGTTTGCAAATACTTGGGCAACAGACATTTGTCAAACCACAAAACATACTCTAAAGGAAAAGAGCATCTGGGCAGAGGGAGCAGTCTGCACACTGATGGAGGTTACGTATTACTGAGCCATCATGTCCAGTTCACCACCCCACTGCACAGAGCAGAAACATCTGACCTAACACTGTACTTCTGCTGAGGTCCCAATGACTTAGCTGCAAGCTCTCCCACATAAATGGCTTTCCTTCACTAGATAGGTGTGAGAGTTAAAAGAAACAGATGCTCGTCATCTGTCCTGCTTAGTGAGAATCTTTAGATATCCTTAACCATCAGATGAAGGAAAATCCACCAGTTACATCTCTTCAGCTTTATATGAAAGCCAGCCCAAACAACAGTGCTACACTACACAGCATGTTATCAGGTCATTGGAGTTCACTGACAATCTTCTACAGTAGATCATATTTAAAAAGGGTGGGGTTTTTCATTGTTGTTCCGTTTTTTTATTATTATTTAAGCAATAATTGCATTTAAAATATTTCTACACTGCCACACGAGGACAGTGAATATTACCAGCACCAGTGTTAGCTACCATCTGTGCCCACTCAGCACTTAAAACAGGCATTCTGCATAACTGAATTAGTCACTGACAACAAACATCCTTAGGTTTCAAATCACTGTTTCATGTATGTTCTCAAGCCTGCTCCTACTGTACGCAACCGTTATCTTAACAAAAAGCATCCCAAGAACTCACAAAACCACCATAATTAAAAGGAAACCCTTTCTATTCTAATAGGAGGTGCTTTTGCTGAACTTGCTATATACAATTGGCTTATAATCTTTATTGCAGAATGTGGACACATGGCATAAGAAAGCAGCCTGCTTAATATTGCTTTTTAATAAGAAGAGGTCTTCCTCCCTACAAATATGCCAGGGATTGATTTCCTAGGGAAGGAAGAGGAAGGACTAAGGCCCTGGAGAGCATGCATTCCTTCTTGGCACCATTCTGTGATGCCCACTTACTTACAGTAATCCGTTAAGACATGCATTTCATAAGAAGCACCTTCAGAATGAACACCATTTCACAGAATCATAGAATCATGATCACCATTTGCCCCAGATGGATCAGTCAGTCTCTCAAGATGTTTAATTGATATCGATCTTCATAACCGTTCTTTCCAAATATATAAACTTACAGGGAGCTAACATATGTTTAATAGGAAGTCTGTAAAACAGTGTGATGGGATCTCCTGAAGCATTCAAAGCACCTTAAGAGGTCAAAAAATAATTATCTGTGCACATATCCACTCTATTTCCCTCATATTTCCTATATTATATATATATTTGTTTTATATATATGTATGTATGTATGTATGTATATATAAATATATAAATAAAATTTGTGATCATTCAAATCACACAAAAAAAAGAACTGAAGGAGAGCCAAAATTCATTCAATTTCAGTGGGGAAAGCCCAGAGCCCTGTATAAAGTGACTGAAAAGATACACTGCTTTAAGTATGGTTCTTAAAAGCCTTGATGTAAATGTAATAAGTGGCTGCAAGACCTATTATCTTATCAGTAAGTAGAAAGCCTGTTCAGAGTACAAATAACGAAAGATTCTCAAGCTCTACAGTCATTAAGTAGAATAAATTATTACATGTCAAAATTAGGATTTAAGAAAAATAAGATTTCCATTTCTTTAGTCACACATTGATTTCAGCATACTGTTGTATAAATTGTATGTATTCAATAAGAAAGCACAGATAACTAACAGAATGAAGTAAATCTTCAAATCTTCCATTCAAAACATTTATAAGGTGATAAGTTTGTCTTAACCTGTACATTAAGAGTTCACAGGTCCCACCCAAAAATACAAAAGGATGATCCTAAACAACCCAGACCAAGAATGAAACCACAGACATAGTCCCAAGTTAAGGATTCAGACTGAACCAGCAGTGATGCTAACATGGGTCTCACATCACATTACTGGTACAAGAACAGCCAATGACTGCAGTGCCTTTCAGATGGCTTTATTCTAGAAGATATTCCTAAATCAGGCTGAGTACCTTGCGTTGTCTCTTGAACTAAAAGATTACTTAGACTCCTTTGATTTTTTCGTACAGCCAATGGCAATGGCCTCTGCACAGCATTCCTGCTTAACACATGCTCTTAGATACTCTCAAAAGAGAACTCTCACCTCTGCAAGGAGCTCACAGCAGCTGAGCACCCAAAGTACACATCTGAATCTCGCCAAAGTTCTTTTCAACTTTTAACAGTCAAAACTTGAGCCAAAAACCAAAATATCACAAAAGCTCATTTCCAATCACTAAATAAAGACTTCTGCCATAAGCCACACCCTCCATATTTCAAAACATGATATATACATACATGAACAGCGAGATCAAATTCAGTATTAATATTTCAACAGTTTCTCAAAGAATTCAACACTTCAGCAGCAATCTATGTAACAAGCCCAAACTACTATAAAGCAAGGAGCATTGTTCTTATTACTTCCCAAATGAAAATTCAATCAGGCATCTTTGCTGGAGTTCTTATTACATTCCACAAGGGTAGGAGCATTTGAACAGGATTTACTTGCTACTTTAAGATAAGAACACAGCCAGAAAGAAGCTAAGTTCAGGATGTGTGTTTGTTCAGGGAGATGCAAACATTATTAGAGATGGCAGGCTTCCTTTGGAGGAGAAAAAACATACCAATGTATGCTCAGCTTCCATTTCCTTCATATAAAATTGCATCAGCAATGCAGTGCTGTCACCTACCTTTTAAAAATATTTGCACAGCCCTGCACGGGAAAAGACTTAACATTATTTCATGTTTTAAGCACTCCATTGCATCTGTGACTCATATTTTAAGTTTCTGCATTACATACTGGTGGGGGAGTTCCTTAAAAACAGACACTAGAAGCAGCTGGGTGTCAGTAGCAATAAGAAAATACTGAAAAAATATGGAGTAATACCATAATATGCTACAGATATTTGTGATAGATAAATAAAATCTACTTACAGGTGAGCTACCCTTTCTCCTTTCAGAGGAGGCAGAATATTCCCAGAACCAATCAAGCAGTTATGCACTATGGCAAGACACTGCTGCACGTCATCTCTTAAAAAAAAAAAAAAAGAAAAACTGATTACTGTAACTATCTTATTAAATACTTCAGAATATACAGAAGATAAACCATATGTTTTGTGATGTTTCATGAAAGAATATTTTCAAGCACTGCTTGCTTTCTGTAATCAGATTCTATTATTTACCACCAACACTCACGTGGAGCTTTTGAAGTCTGCAGGAGGAAACTTAAGGATAATGAAACACACTAACTTCAAAACAGACAGCTTTACCCCAGACAGCTGTCTGTTTTTGAAGTTAGTGTGTTTTGTTAGTGCTATTGTTTGGAAGAGTTTTGTAAGATATAAAACTTATGTAAGAATCAACAAAAATGCTACTTACTGAAATCATGCCATTTAAAACACTAGCAGTTTCATCTGGCATCCTCATTTATTCACATTCATTACATCCTCAGCTACTTAAAGCATTCTCTATTCCTGCAGTGATGCTATCTTGTATTCCAATTTAATTTACAATTCAAGCACTTGGCTGAATAGTCCTGATCATCATCATTTATTTCTGTTAGGTAACATAGTGGAGCATTGATCAATTCAAAGCCTAATTCTGTTATAAACTAACTGCTTTACATACAAGGTGCCAAACAGAAACAGAAGAAAGCAAAACAAACAGTACAACAACATATGCAAATAGGCTAAAGACCTATATGGGAGACATATACTTTCTTCCTTTAGCCTAAGTATAAATTACAATTGCAATTTGGTGGCACTGATTTGTCAAGCACATATTGCCTTTTTCAGGAATAAAGCACTGTGGGACTTTGGTAGGACAGAAATATATTTAGGAGCCTGATACACCCTGCAGCACTGTACTGTATGAGATATGATGTTGAACAATGAACATCTGTTGAAGTATAAATACCTACATTTAGTTATATCAAGGCTAGGAGGATTTAATACAAGAAAAAGATTTCTTGAGAGGATTGTAAAAAGCTTCAGCTATTTGATACTTGTAAATGCTTCAGCACGTAATAAACTCATGACTGTCTTGTGGTTAGGAAACTATTCTTCAAAGCCATGGTTTCACACTAACAAAGTTTAACAAGATTGGCTAATAGTAATCTTGCCTCCACTCGCCTTTGTTCATGCCACTGACATCCATTACTTCCTCAGTTAACACAATGCCACTTTTTGCAGGACCACTCTATGCACTCAAGCCTTTCAATTGTAGTAAAGGGAGCACTAAAAAGATCTGCAAGCCAAATTGGTTCTGCACCCCATTTCATACCTCAGGAAAGACAAATGGTTATACCAAAGTAAGAACAGAGAGTGCAGAGGAAAAACTTTCTTGCTGACTAAAATTTAAAAGTCATAATTTAGGGTATATATCAAAAACATCCACTCCTCTACAATATAAAGTGTCCTCAGATTTTTTTTTTAAAGTTTTTCTGTTCAAAATAATCTGTTATCATCTGTTACCAATTTCATGAAATGCACTTCCAACTTTATGCACTTTGAAAAGTTAAAAACCTTGGAAAGATACCTGGAATATCCTAAGACACTGTAACATTACAGCATTTTGCTCCTTAATATCTTTAGTGCTAGTACAGCTGGCAGTAACCACTGGAAGACATGAGTGGATAAAGGCATTTCCTCTGTATAATGCATTAGCACTGACCTGGACATTTCTAGTTTTCCAGTTGCATAGTGCTCTAGTTTGGTGAGCTCAGGCTGAAGAAAAGTGTCCAACAAATAAAAAGCAAAGTTTATTTCCTCAGATGAAGGAACATGCCACTGGATGTCCAAGTTCCACAGGTCACCTGGTTTACCCCAGTCCTATATTAAATAAAGACATCACACATTAACCAAACAATGATACAAATCTTTAAAAAAAAAAAACCCACACAAAACCCCCAAACCTTTTAAAAAAACTCTTAACATTATTGCAAAACACAAGAACTAGCTACTGTTATAAAAACAGTTTTTCAGAGAACTTCAGGAAAAAAACAACATAGTAATCCTCAAACCTAATATACTGTCTGCATACACCTGGAACATAACACATATCTGGAAGGACTAAAAGGCAAAGGACTGTTAAGGTGTAACTGAAGTATAACTTTCTTGTTTCTTTGGCCAGATTCAAATTCAAAATCACTATTGCAAATTCCTAAAAAATAATGTATCTCCTTTTTTGGCAACAGTTTTGCAGTGATGTACTTGCACTCTTTTTTTGCATGTCCCCAACATTACTTGTTGTATCTGATGATAATGTTCATGTGAAAAGGAATAAGAAAAGGCTATATAGCCTTTTCACCCAGGTGAAAGATTAAGTTTGTTCCAGTGCAGTAATGCTTTCTCTGGCTGGATATTTAAGTGAACAGCAAAATTCTCTTGCAACCTTAACACTGTATTTCAAGATATCTAGGTCTCAACTGAATGCATCATATAATTACAAGATTAAGAAACATGAGCAGACAACTTTTGCTTTACCTTACTGTAGTCATGCAATCATTGTAAAACACACACATCATAAAACACATCATGCTATATAATTACTCAAAACAAGTCAGTATTCATTTTTTGCTACCAATATAATTTTAAGAAACTTGATATTTGCTCTACACATTTAAAAGCTTAAAGCATCTTTCAATTACACTTTCCATTGCTGCTACCTATGTTCAGAAATCTCCAAATTAAAACAAATAATATTGTGTATGATTGTTTTTTAAAAAGAAAGTCAAATCCTCTAATCCTAAATAAATGAAAATCCTTGCCTTGATAGGAAAGTATTCAGAAAGAGGCTTGTCAAAGCCACCTGGCACACTGCAGTACTCTGTGGGGTAGATAAGTGTAGCAGAACGAAGAAGATGATGCAGTAGGTTACAAGACAGAATGTAACCCTGCTTACAGGTTAAATGTAGGGTTCGCTGCAGAATCTTCCCAAGCTGCTCCCTGTATGGTAGCAACTTCTTTCCATCCACTCGAGTGATCTAACAGGAAAGACAAGCATTTGAAAAGTAAATATAGTAGATGATATTCTGGAGGACTAAAGAGATGATTACACCACTCAACTGTACCACATTTCATTCAGCATATCACACGAATTTTGGATTTAATACACAACTAGCACACAAACTACCACTTCTACTGTTGAAAAAGTAACACACAAGAACTGTGAAGTATTTCCCTTTTGATCTTGTTCAATGTTTTCTAGCATTGTTTATACATACTGAGATGCACTTTAAGACATATACCTTTACCACAATACACTTTCCCCTAAATTGAACCCTCTTCTTTCTCTACTCCTTGATAACTGTAATAACTGCTTTAATATTATTCCATGTGCAGCCCCCAAGGTTATTCCCTTCAAATGACATCTATCTACACCCCATTTAAAGTTAGAGAAGAAAGTTATGCAATGTCATTAGTAAACATTTAGTTTAACAGCAGAATTCAATTTTGTTGTTCTTTCAGAGGCATCAAATAAGATTCAGTGGCATACATGCTCAGTGAGAGTATTCTTTACAATACCTCTGACAAAAGCTGAAGATTCCAAAGAAGCTCCTTATCTAGTTCTTCATCACGTAACACATCATCATCTAGAGGAACAAATGAACAGCACTGCTGTAACCACACTGCAGACAGGTTTTGCAAGCCAGTGAAATTATAGAACAGATGCCTGTGCTCCAAAAATTTGCTCACAAGCCCTCTGTGGCTAACTTCCAACTAATATTTCACCCCCATCCAACTGAAATTTACTTCACTTAAGATCTTGAATACTTTGAGGAAATCACTTAACAATTCAAAGTGTCTCTAAACATTAAATAAATAAATGTGCTCTTTTCACTGCAGAGATTTCTGCCAAGAAATTACACAAGTACTTGTGTTTTTTTTCCTAAGAAATAATGAACAGAAATAATTTTCCATTATTGAGATGAAATGATGAATAGACATGGAAGTTCTAAATATTATTTTCATGCTTAACGAGAGTCAATCCAAAGCAAAACAAGTGTAATATTAAAAACATTAACAACTTACTGACTGTGAGGTGAGTTATAACATTGCAGCAATGTGGTACAAACAGTTTCAAGGATTCCTCTGGACGGCACTGGAAACAGCATTATGAATAGCCATTATAAATAGTTTTTTAAAAAGATGCAACACAAATTCAGCGTTGACACTGATACAAATCTTCTAATAATATCACTAAGAAACACAGGCTATTTTCAAATTAACAACAATTCAATCTAGAGTCCATATGACTTCACAGGCAGCCTGCTCTAGTACCAGATCTGGAGGGTGGTGGCCCTGCCATGGCACTGGGGTTGGAATTTGATGATCCTTGAGGTCCCTTCCAACCCAAGCAATTCTATGATTCTGTGATTTTAAAACACTCATTAAAACCATTAAATTTAACATAAAAGCAATTAAGAAAATACTGCTAAATACAACCTTTTAATTTTAAGATATTAAGAGCCTCCTGTATTTTTAAGATATAAAAGATTTTATGCAAGAAAGCAGTATGGACTTCTTGGTTTTCCTTTTTTTTTTTTTTTTTTAAACTAAAACTAGAAATAAGTGAAATAAGAGTGAAATAAGAGCATCCTCTCTCACTTTTACTGCAGCTCGACACATATCTGCAACCATTCGACCAGCAACTCTCGTCTCAAATATGTTTGAAATGGCAAAGTTGAAAACCTTCTCCAAGGCAACCTAAAATTAATAGAAAAGGTTCAGAAAAGGACAGAGGTTAGCTTTTCATGTGCTTTTTTAAAAAAACAAAACAAAACTAAAACATTTGGTCTTACATGGAAGGCAACATCTGTCCATAATATTGTTTTTTTTTAAATATATGATAGCAGACATGATTCACGTTAGAAATCAGAACACAGAAGACAAATCAGTTCTGTACAATGCCTGAAGCTGAGTAAAACTTAACCACTCAATTTAATTACACTAGGGAATAGAAAGGAGAGAAAGCTATGTGTGAATTAACTGCTCAGGAAAAAAAAAATCTTAAATGGTATCAGTACATTTGACTCAGTTTATGTGCACCTATCTGCATGCTTACTGCCTTGAGCTACAATACAAATGCTGCTACAAAAGCAGCAATGATAAGAAGGTTAATCAAAATAGTTTCCTAGTTCGCAGACTTTCATGGCTTTTCCCACCTTTGTATTTACTGTATTCATGAAAAATAACATGACATGATCAACTGTCACTGAAGTCCATTCTTTCCCCTGGGCCCTCTCCAAGTTTAAAAACACTGTGCTGTAATTGATGACACAAAGGGACATTCAGCTTTCAGATGAAAAGACATCTAAAATGTTCACCTTGAGAAAAAAGGAGGTGAGATACACTGAGCTGACTGATCAAAGCTTGGGGATGCTTCTGAGAAACTATACAGAAAAGCAGCTTCCCCTGGACAAGACACAATTTGACTACATGAAAACTGTTATTTCACATGTGAAAGTGAAATAAAGCCAAGACATCCCTTATTTAACAAATAAATAGGGAATTGGCTACTTTAGTAGTTAGCATATATGTAGGTTGTTCATCACTAAAAATAATCACACACAGTAAGGAACAAAAAGAATTTGCATTCACAAGATTCCAACCAAAATGATACCTATGTGTCCAAAGCAATGACTCAAAATGCACAATCAGCATCTCAAAATACAGACAGAATAAAATGTGTTACCCCCAAACAACAAGAATCCACCTGTGTAACAATATGGATTCCCCATACCAGCCCTGAGAGACTGTAATACAGATACTTTTTCTGATCTTATTTGGCCACATGGCTCCCTGAACTGCTTCTTTTGCTCAGTGGAAGACGAGGAAGATGGGAGAAAAGAGGAAAATGGGAATTTGGTAAGTCAGCATTAATATCCAAAGACTTAAAAATCTCTGTCTAAAACAACAAAGTAATAACGCTGTAAGAAAGAATCCTAGCAATTATTATTGGCTACAAAAAGAGCACCTCCTGATGCTCAGAACTCTGCACTGATGCATATAAAAATCACAAAGCAAATTCACATGAAGTCCTAAATTCTCCTAGCTCCTCCCTTGGTTAAAATGCATAAGATCGTAACAGGATAACACAGGAAGAATCTGAACTCACTAGCAATTCACAACAGAAAATTAAGACTCAAAGTTCTACAGAACGTGCCACGATTTACATACCTTAAATATATCTTTCGAACACTGAGTAAGGATTGTACTGAAGGTAGAAGATAGACCTAATTCAACTAGACTCTCTAGATGAGTCATTTTCTCTGTTTCAGTCTCTTCTCGGGTCTGTTCCAGCGTGCTGCTCTCTATAAGTCCAAAACACCTAAAGAAATGCAGTAAGTACAGTAAGTACAATTTTAGTTAATTGGAACTGGGAATTTGTATTAAGTTCTTCATGCCAAGCTTTCATCTATCTTTAGCTTACTTACCTATCCATAAACTGCAGTACAAAATCTTCAAATTCTGCTGTTGCAGAGCACAACTCTCTTTCCACCTACAATTTTCCAATGCAAAAGGAACACAGAAGGTTGGCTTTTCTTAGGAAAACATAATATAAAGATACCCTCTATCAACTGCTTCAAAAGCACATTCAAATTTTATGTGATACAGAGTACATCTCCCACCTAACAGAGTTTGGATAGTTTTGAGTACATCCCATGAAAGCAGTTACTACATATACTTTGTACTGCTCAATCAAGCACTCTGGCCTTGATAATTAGCCAGATAGCCTCTCAAGGTGAAAAAGGGTTCATCTCCATGGATACCTAACCTTTAGCCTTTACTACTGATCTTCCTTTCTAGCAGTATGTCAGTGAGTGCCAACTGTGGCAGTAGTCTTGGCTTTGCTGACGTATTTGCATTACACATTCACCATGCAAACTCCACTGCAGCTTTAGGGCAAGGAAATTAACATTCCAGTAGCACTCTGGCCATTCAAAATCTGTAGCTGTTAGCTGCTCTCAGTGCTACATGAAGTCTCCTTAACAGCAGCCAAAATATTCCATGTGGCAGTTCCAACTATGATAGTGGATACTAGTGCTGCCACACTCAGAATATGCTGGACACAAATTATTTCTATCAAAAGTAGAATCAAAAATCTAGTGAAAAATCAGAGAAATAGAAAAATTATTTCCTACTCCCTCCTGTATTTTTTTGTTATGTGCAGAAGAAAAAGGACAAAGCGTTAAAAACACTCCTGGAAAACAGGCAGGGAGACCAAGTCTAATAAAGAAGAGGCAGCAAAGTTAAAACAGAAAAGGGAGATGGTGCTCACTGTCTAATGGTGTTATCTCTTCAACAGAAGAGATTAAGAAGGATCTGAACAGAAAGCAATAGCATCCTAATCAGAAAAGAGAAACCTAAATACAGGAACAATTCAAAGAGGTACGAGTATTTTGCAATAGTTTCCCATAGTAGGGAAACAGCCCTTAAAGGCACAAGATATTAATTCATTGAAAAAACAAATAAAAACAGAAGAAACATCCCATTCTTTCTTCTACACTTAAGTTTTCAGTAACAAATTCCTTCCTGACCAATTCCTCCCAGATTCCCCCAGACAACCAACTAGTTACTCTTCAAACTGTTCTAAGCTGGACTATTTTTGAACTAGAAATGGTAAGTGTATATCTTAAAACAACACTGATATCAGATCCACCACACTCACTAGAAGCAAATGCAACAAAAAAAAGTAAAGTTTGTGCATAACATTTTTTGTTCCATGTAGCTTACACCCACAAAAAGAGTCTGGAAACACACTTCTGAACACAATTAGATTGCTAGAAATTATGCTGAAGTCTGTAAGTTATGGTTTCATTATTACAACTGCACAGTGCTCTTACCTCTGAAAGATCATCCCTTTCTTGCAACACGGACGAACAATCTACTAAAGGCACCAAAGTAGAAAATGTTGCAATAAACTGGAATGTAATCTGTTGAGAGTTGCAAACAGCTCTTTAATAAATGCTGTATTCTACACACTAAAAAGCTTTCCCAATTAAAGTATGGCAGCTAAAACAAATCATTACATTAAAAAAAATTCTACAGATCAATTCTTTCAGTCCAAAACATCACCCAATTATTTCTGATTTTGGGTTAAAAACTAACTGAAGTTGTAACTTCACACAAAGAAAACTATTTTCTGGTAAAATAACACTTTTCTGTTGGATTTTGAAGTTAAAAAGGCTGATGTTAGAATTTTTTGAATAGTCAAGGAAAATGAAGCCCTCACGACACAGGCTTCTGGGACCTAACTTAATGAAACCTAGCAATAAAGAAAAGGTTTTCTCAATTTCTACTAAATTTGGAACATCCATTTTTACAGCTGCCCAAAAAATCAAAACAATGCTTATCACAGTCTGGTGTTAAAGACTCACTTGGCAGTGTCCAACAAGCCAAAGGCATTATCTTAAGCTAGAAGCTTTATTATCATGTCTTTGCAAGCAGAGTTGTGCCAGGAATAAAATCACACTAAGAATTTCTGGAAATACAAGTTTTACTTGCATTCATACAAATGTAACAAAAGCTTTCAGATCGAGTCAATTAGCTAAGTACATTCAAAGAAGAGGTAAGATTGATACACTCACCATGCACTTGCTGAAGTCATTTGGATCCACTCCAGGCAAAGCTCTCATCAGTAGAGGTAGCATGTGTGTTGGACCTTCAGGAAACCACTTCCCACCTGATACCAGACTACGAGCTACTCCGATTACACAGCTTAAAGTAGCCGTGAGCTGATGAGGTTCTGTCAATGTCTCAAGTGCAGGATATGTTCTATAGGGTGTAAGAGCAATCATATTAGGAAAATCACTGTTTTATCAAAGAAAATAAAAGTGATTTTTTTTTTTATTTTTTATTTTTTTACAAAAAGGATACACAGCTTCTGCAAGAAAAGATTAAGGTAATCAACAGTTCAGAACATCCTTTTGGTAAGCTTTTTTCCAATGGACTTAACATTTGTATATTAAAAACTGTTTCAAAATTTCAGGATCAGGTAATTTGTTAGCTGTTGCAGCGGGGAAATTAGTAACTTCACGGACTCCTAGATTCAATGCTACTACATTCTTCTTGTTTCAGCTGTTAAGGACGAATTCCTGCAGGTGGTTTAGCAATGAGAAGGCAGTCCTTAACTACAGAACTCTCACCATTCTACTGCCAGCAGCATCTACATAAGCTGGTGGAAGCTGTGTACATGAAAGTGTAAGGTTTGTGTAGAACTGCCTATGAACAGAGCAATTGAAATCCATTTATAATTTTATTTTTTAATTTAAAATCTGTTAAGTTACCAGCATTTTTTTTTTTTACAGTAGGTACTTCTCAGCAAACTGTGTAACACTTTGTACGGTTGTCAATAACCTACAGTTCAAACAGGAGTCATAGTGCTACCCCTGCCCCTCATCACTCAAAGCATAAAGGACCTACATCTTCTCAACAAAACAAATTCATAATTGCAGCCAAGGCAAACTTATCAGGAATAGCTTTATGTACAGAGCAGACTGAACGTCTGCTCTCAAAATAGAAGCAGTAGTCAGAACCAATACTGATGTTCACTGCTGTCCCTGTTAGAAATGTTATGCTTGAAACATTTTCATATAAGAGAAGATTAATCAAGACTTTATAAACAGTTGAGTCAGTATGGTATGGAACTCAGGAATGGCTCTTTTCAAGACAAATTCATTTCTCCACTGGTTTTACAACACAAGCTGGTAAAGTATGAAGGACTGCATGGGGAAACAAGGGCAGAGAGTAGAAAGCAAGCTTCCACTGAAGACAGGAAGGAGTTAGTTCTTTGGAATTTCAGGCATCAAGGCATTAGTAGTCATACAAACCAACTACTTTATACGGACACATACTTCAGTGATTTGCTTACCAAGTCAAAAGCAACGACACTAATTTTAAACAATCCGTAACACACACATCCTGACACAAAACAGAAGCATTACACAAACATGCAGTATCACCATTCACATTTGGCTCTAAGACAAAGCTGACAAGGCAGCACAACACGGCTGGTAAATATACACTATAAAGTTGCTTTTAAGTTGACCCACTCCCATCTCTCAGAAAATGATAACAGTAATGCAGACAATCTGAGGGACTACCCTGTATTACACAAACTATGGACAGCTCCCAGAAATACTCCATTAACCAGATGTTTAAAAAAATAAATCCAGGAAAAATGTCCTCCCCCTCAGCTGACTGCTCAGTAGTGCTCATTAAGCTTAATTTAGAAACTCCTCTCACTGGAAGCATTCATTGCAGCAAGAAGACTGCATGTCACCTAGTGAGTGTTTCTGAGTATTTACCTGTTAGAAAGGGAACAGGGAGGCTGACACAGTTCATACTTACTTCTCAAGTACGGGTGGAATTACTAACTCAGGACGCATCAGTGCAAGGTTCTGCAGGGCTTGGGCAGCCTCCAGGCTTCCAGTTTTACTAAACATAGCCAGAAGAACAGGCTGAATAATGCATTCTACAAAGTCTGTAACATCCTGATCAGTAAGTTTATGACTATCAGGCACAGGAGTTAACCAAGTCGGCTTCTTGTAGCGCTCACGATGCAGCCTTCTGACAACACTGCTGGGCAGCCTTTGAAGTAGTTTCATCAGTTTGTTCTGTTAAATATGTAAGAAATGCTAGTCAGTCACCCTGCAGTAGTAGAAACTGAGGTGCTAACTGACCAACACACAGTAAGTATTTCAAAGCTATACTGCTACAATAGATGAAAATTCAGAAGAGCTCTAAAATGCAAGGCTCCTATCATTAAACTTCAGTTCCCAAAATACTAAAAACTATCCTGCAAACAATGTCTTATGATTTTCTTACATTTATGAGAAACTCATACAAAGTTTGCAGTCAGTAACCAAGATTACTTACCACTAATTAGGACACGAGAGCATTCTCTGCAGAATCACTCAAGTAACATCCTATGCTAGAACAAGTCAGCTCTTTTGACACTACTTAGACCAACTCTGTCACTTTAATCTGTACTTTTACCAGCTATCACATGGGTATTCTTAAGTATTCTAGCAGAAGACTAAACCAGCTACACCATGAAAAAGTCAGGCATTGTCAGACTAGATACGCAATAAAAATGTGTTTTCACATTCTAGGTTTTGCTAGCTTAGAAATGGTAGGTCAGCAACATGCAAAGGTATTCTGTGCTCCTGGCTTGAGAATAAAAGTATGATTTGAATCACAGTATTGACAAACTGAAAATTAAATCCTCAAAATACAATACAACCAACAGACAAGCTGGTTACTAGAGCACATAATGCATCTATCAACACATTTGATTCAACAATTCTGCTTTGCTTATAGCAAAGTTATTGTTCTGACATGCACAAACTCACCAGCCAACGTCCATTATTTGAAGGATGGTAAAAAGAAGCAATGCTATTGAACAACCCAGACAAGTGCTTCTGTACTAATTTACTTGGTCCACCCTGTGAAAAATAAAGCACAGAATTTTATTACGCAGGCTAAGTTAAAATGAAAAGATAACACAGTAGTGCAAGAAAAAGAATACTCATTTACCAAAGCCATATTTCAGAGCATTAGAATGAAATACTGAACCCTCAACTCAGCATTAACTACTAAGATCTAGCTGATCTGATGAGGTTCACTCTAAAAATGAATGAATTCAATAGGTAAGGAGGTCTTAGGCATGCATTCACAGTGGCCTTCATAGCTATCTCTTCACTTCCAGAATGCCACAGACAGCAGCTACGAAATAAACCTTGGAACTGCATTCCAAGCAGACAGTGAAACAATCAATCTTTAAACAATCCTTGGGCAAAAGTTAGTCTAAAAAATGCTTCTGCTGTGAGCTGAACAGAACATTTATTTCATATGCTTGCTTGTTTAAAGCTTTGTGTGAACAGTTTTTGTTATACTTCATGAAAAAGTTACTAACCATCATGGCTGTGATCCACATTACTGCATGTCCTACATCATAAGCGTTTGTTAGGAATCTTGGAACCACAACTTGATTACTTCCCACTGGAAGATTTAAACTCCTCAAAATTCTGGTAAAAATCTGTATTGCAAAAAAAAGAAAAGGAAGAAGAAAGGATTGCATGCTGTAAATCAGCCATGAAATAGGAACGGTGCAGAAAGCTTCCATGGCAAAACACTCCTGTGAAGTTTTGTTTGCTTGGAACAAATATTTTCTGGGCAAAGTAACTACACTAGTAGGAGCAAATAGTTTCAAATGGCAAGTGTGAGGTGAGGACAGAAAAAATATTTTCACAAGAAAGCCATAATACTTTAACTCCTTGAAAAATTCAGAAGTCTAGATTTCAAGTTAGCAGCATGAGAAAAATGAAATGAAATATGCATAGCCTGAAATCACATCAGACAATACATATTCTGCTCACACACTGCTGAAGAGGTGGCACACGTAGGAGAGAATGAATAGTTTTCCAATCATTTCCATCACATTTCATGCAAAATAAGTAAAACACATGCATCTCTTCATTTTGTTTTGTAACTCCCCACAATTACCCCCACCAAAAAGGAAGTGAAGCAATTAACCTTGATTTGTAACAATTCCTACAGAATGCTAACATAGCAAGTCATGGACCTTTCCTTGTTTGCAACAGATGCATAAAAAATAATAAACATTTAAGATATTTAAATGTAACAAATAATAACAGGGAACAAAACCAAATTCCAAAACATTCTGTTACAAATGGGACCACAACAGCACCGCAGATGCTGAAGAGCAGCAGTGAGAAGGAAAGTCAAACCTTGCACAAGCACATCTTTTTAGTACTGTGGCACAAACACAAAAATATGCACATGAAAAATGTCAGCGTTATCAGTTTATTTAAAAACAAAAAACCACTAGCTTTTCACTTGAAGTTAACTCAAAAGAACAGCTAAACCACAACACAAGCAGGAAGGATTTTAGCAACCAGTCAAAACCCACCCACGTTATTTGGGAGAAAAAGCTAAATCTTACTCTTCCAAAGAAGTTAAGATGTAAAACGACATCATGTAAATACCAGTACTGCTCTGGAGATCTTGATTATTATTTTTAAATATTCCATCAAAATTTCTCATCAGCAAAGTACATAACACATTAACACCTTGAGACATGCCATTATTTTGTGTTTCTTACCCCCCATTATCACAAGCTATGTTACAAATACCATAGCACAAAATAATGGGGCAGACCAATATCAAAAGCCTTTGATATTTTTTAGCATAACACAAGTTAGTGAAAACACTAATTAATACCACTGCTACCAAGTTGAAGAATAATGGTTTGGTTGTACTTATGTCTCATTTTCTGCTTTTACGCTTTGAGATAAAATATAAATTACTGTTTTTAATCTGTATTAGGAACACCTTGCAAGAAAACAGTCTTCAATTTCAGAAATGTTTATATCACAAACACATTAAAATCGTACAATTTTCTCTTCAGCAAGAGGGTCTTAATATTTTTTTTAAACAATATAACTGCTATGAACATCTTTAAAAATCCGTAAGGTGAAAGACTGGAAAGTGACACATAGTATTCATCAAACAAATGTCATTAGCATTTACTTCCAAGGGGATTAATCATATATATTCAGACAGCACTTATATATGGAAAGGTATTCTGTTGCTTTGGTTGGGCTTTAAGTCAGGTGATAGCAGTACCAACTTCCAGAGGTTTTTCTTACAAAAGGATAGCTCAAATTAGGTCTTCAAATGAATATACCTAACTTGAAAAGCTGGGGCTCTGCAGTATAAGACCCATGAAGGGAACATGCATCATCCTTTGCATATTAACACCGAACGTAAACAACATAATTTCATAAAATGAAAAGTATTACCTTTGGTACGTAAGGATCCCAGTCAATGTACCCTATGTTGTCAGTGGCCAAGCGAGCAAAAAGATTTACCAGATGCTGAAAAAGAACAGAAGAAAGAAACATTTATTAGAATAAATTATAAAGGACGAACAAAACCCTTCAATCTAGAGATGCAAGATAAAAGCTACCCATAGCACTATAACATTGCAAAGGGAGATATCAGTCTATTAGGACCATCAAAACTGTATTTCACAATGCACCTGTAGGAATCCAACCTGCAGGAGGTGAACTCATTCTTTTGAGCCCCTGCAAAGCAGGGAAGAAGTAGTAATTGTGATTTAAGTTCTGGGAGACACAGCCTGTCAAAATATATATTTCTATGTCTTGAATTTTTTCTATTATTATTATTATTACTATTTTATTGAGATATACTCATAGTACTTCTGGAAGGTATACTCACACCCTTCCCTTTTTCTATGCTCTGCTCTCCAGGTTAACATGAAAGGCAGAATGCAATCGCCAGCATTTTAGATCTTCCTTAACTACTTACTGCTCTACAGCAACTCCAAATGACAGTAGATGAACTACAGACCAAAAAAAATTAAACTGTATGTCACGTGCTTTGTAAAGACTTTAGCTTTTGCTTGGAATTTTTTTCCCTTTGGAGTAGCTTCCACAGAACAGATGACTTGTGAACCACACCTTTACTAAGGCTCAGAGTCTTTCAAGCAAAGTCACTTAAAAAAATAAAACAACAAAAAATAATCACTTGGGTGTAGGAGACTATTCATCTTTGCAGCTATGTTTTGAAACAAAATGCATGTGATAGCTATAAGACAGATTTCTCAGCGCATCCATCATAATACAGCTTAAGCAAAGGAAAAAAGAAAAAAAGGTTTTATTATCATTATTATTATTATTTTTATTTTTATTTTTTTTAAACAGAACAGGCTCTGGCTTGGTGTTTTCATCAACTTCTCTAACAGACCTCTACTTTCACAGCCTTTGTCCAGATGATTGGCTGCATCAGTTGATGGAAGAAGTGCTAACGAACATTCTGAAGACAACATACAAATTAGTAGTCCTCCTATATGCAAGAATGAGAAAGACAGGCTCTGAAAAACACTGGAGGTTTGGAAAGAAAAATCACAGGTATCCAAAAGCCTACTACTTCCCAACAAGGAAAAGGGCCCTGTGCAACCCACTTTGGTTGCCAGTGCATTACCCAGGCTCTTTGCAGTCTTGATTGTAAGTGATACACCATGCCACTCATTAGTACTCGGAGCTGGAGCACCATAACAAGCAATTGTCTGTTCATCTAATAACGCTTCCTCACCAGTGAAATTATTTGGTGAGTTCAAAGGAGATAGTAGCCTATCTACAGACACGAAAGAAAACTCAACCAGCATATCTCAAAGGACTATTTAGCTTTTACAGGATCCATCCTACTTAAAATGCACTTGCCTGTGGCTGATGGCTGACATGTTTTAAGCTTCGGTTTATACATCTCTGTGGCTTGTAGAAGTCACAGCCATCAGCTTGCAGACTAGATAGCAGTATGTGACTATCTTTGAAGATAGTCTACTGTGTGTGTCATGACTGTCTCTCAGTTCAAAACAGAACTGAGAAGTGCCCTCACAACAGGGAGTTAAAAGGACTACACAAATAAAGGGAGAGTGTGTGTCTGACTCCTACATCCTGATCAGAAAGATCAACCAACCATCACACCTTTTATGAGCTTGTTCAAGTAAGGAAATACTTGTCAGGTATCCAAGACCTTGATGTTTCTATCAGTATTTTGAAGCTATAGTGCAGTCAAAAGCAAAGGCCTTGAATAATCCTGCCCCATTCAGAGAGATTCACAGAAGTACAGTTCACCTTTCAAGCCTGAAGGATGAAACAGCTTTTGAAAACCACAAATTCAGTTCAAGACAGTCGTAACTACCACAACAGCGAGACAAACCTCACAATTTCTTAAATGGCTTACATTTGTTTGCTACAAGACAATACTCACTGAAAAAAGAAACAACTCTCCCCATTCACCTCAAAGGCAACTCTTTCTGAAGCTTCCCTTCAAACAGTACATCCAACTCCTGCCAAAGGAAGCTGAGAAAAAGCTTGCAGCAGACAGAGGTTTAAATTGGATTGTACAGTCAGAACACATGTATATAATGATCTACATCCAAGCCTGATGAAAAGAGTGATCCTGTCCTTAGAAAGTGGACAGGACAGAAAAGGAAACATGAAGTAAGATCTTTGGGGGAAAAAAAAAATAAAATGTTGTGCTTTCTGAGCAAACTGTCAAAAGTCAGCTGAAGAGAGAAAAATACCACAGACAGCTGCTTACTTATGAAAGTGTGTTGATGATTCTTTTCTTAAACTAGTTGACAGAAACAAGTCAAATAATGGTTCTAAAAGTACAGGCTGTCATCTTTCTGGCAGAAAGATGAGACAGAATTGCACTTTTCTGGATAACCATCAGGAAGATGCAGAAATGTCTACAGACAGTGATAAATGAAACTTGTTCAAATCTGGAAAACTGACTTTTGTTTGAACAAAGACTGCCTTCCTCTAACTGTGAGGAAACCAAACTCAAATTAGGATGACCTATACAGGAGCCTTCTGACACAAAAGCTACCAGAGACGGAAAGGGCTAAGAGGGTTGTATTACATGGTATTTTGGAAATTAGCTTTCTGCAAAGACACCGAGAAGTCTTCCCTGAATACACAGGCAGGAGATTAGCAAAAGAAGCCAGATGGTCAATGAGCTTATGTTCACATACAACTTGGCACGTTGGTAATTCGCCAAGTTTCATTGCAGTAAAGCAAAGGCACAGGTCAGCTGACACCAACAGCACTAAGGCTGCTTGTGGTGTTGTCTAGAGAATATTTTTCTTCTCACTTCTTAAGTTCATATCTGATCATGAGATGTGTATAAAAAGACAGGCAGATGATTTTACTTGAAAGATATAGCCCGATGGTATTGCTGGCCAGGGAGAGCAGAGTTCTTTATTGTGCCTAAAATAAAGATGACATCAACTTATCACAGTCACTGCAAAGTAGAAGAAGACACTAACCCCTGCGAGATTTCTTTGAAGACAGATAATTGAATATCAAAACAGACTCTAAACATGGAAACACATAAAAACGGTAGAGCAATTAGAACAATTTTAGAGTGTCATCCTGGATATGAAGACTGACTTTTCATTTTCAAAACAAAAACATTTCTGCATGAAAGCCAGACTTCCAGGAGTACTTAGAGCACCCCTTTTGAGAGGGTCTTTGCCATGCAGGCAGTATGTGAATTATATGAAAGAATTCAGTCAGTGTAGTGCAGAAATGGACCACCACCACCAATGTAGCTACAGGAAATTAATTCAGCAACAGAGACAAGAACAAGCAGGGAAGCACACTAAAAACTGATGACCAAAAGATTTCAGTACAAATTCAAGACAGGGTTACAAATCAAAAGTTACATTTAAATTCCTTTGCACTTTAAAATAAGGGTACCTATTTTTGTGGTAGTAAAGTTTAACTTAAAAGGCATGGAAAACATTCTGCATTAGGTATATACCCGCTTACACTGAGGACAGCATTACAGGTGTACTGTTAAAAGACAGTGAAAAAAATAAAACAAAACACAGAGTGACTGTACACAAGTTCTAATGGAAATATTTCCCATTACTATTCAAAATTAGAGATGTGAAGAATGTCACAAGTAATAAAGATACAATTTCACAGAATAGTAAGTTATAGAAATCACAGTAGCTCTTTTCATCATTGTAAACCTTAGCAGGCAGTTCAAAAAAAATGCTAGCATTCCGTGGTAAAGGGAAGCTGCCTGAGATGGTGATTAACTAATGCTCACAGAGCACACAGTGCCATCTCTTTTATTCAGCCAATAACTTCTTGCTAACAGTCATGACATTAGCACCACTGTCTTCTCGTAATAGTAGAAAGAAAAAATATCCATTAAACATATCATTGTTTAACTTCACAACATAGAGTAGGAATTTTTAAATGGATCTCTTCTAGTGAAGATGAATAATCAGTACTTACCCCTTCCCACTGGGGAAGATTTTGAACAGAAACCCAAAGGCCTATAAATTCAGAAAACCAAAGCCTGCAAGAGAACATAAAGTGACTTTTATGTTGTGAAAACAACTCCTCCTCTACTTGACATTTATTTCTAACTCTAACTCTGATCCTTATCTACTTCAGCTTCATCATTTCAACATATACTGACACTCTGGTGCAGGCAAACTGAATGAAAACAGATCACTCTTCATTCCCTTCTAGTTTAAAATCTAACATTTTTCCCTATTGACCAATGGTTACAATCATCACTATTTTCTATTCTGAATTCATCTGAAGCTAAAGATGCAAATCCTCCATGCCAGCCTCTTGCTTAAATTCATTCACAAACAATGAGGGCTGCTCTGAAAGTAACAGTTCATCTTTTATTACACTGGCCCAGAGGCAGATGTTGGTAGGACAGAAGTAGAGGTTGAACCTTCCCAACAATATTCTGTTATATTTTGTTTCTGTGTGACAGATGGCAGCAGAAGAGCAGTCTGACAGAGTGCCATCAGACATGGAAGTACATGTGAAGCAAAGGTATGGAACTGAATTCTTCTGTACAGAAAAAATGGCACCCACTGACATTCACTGATGCTTGCTGAACATTTATGGAGACCAAACATGTGGACGTCAGCACAGTGAGGTTATGTGTTCCAGCAATGGTGACAGTAACATGAAAGACAGGCCATGTTCTGGATGGTAATGCAGATTCTTATGAGTATGGATGCAAACTGTTGTTCATTGCCAGCAGAAAAAAACATAGCTAATGGTGGTGACTATTCTGAAAAAAGTGTTGTGTACTGAGACTTTGCTCTATCAAACAGTGCTAGCATGCTCTGTGTATCTGTTGTAGTTTCCATGGAAATAAATAGGAGGTGTTACTTTTGGAGAGACCTACACATTTTCACTTCCTTTCTTGGGAGTTTTCACCGATCCTGTATTGAAAATATAACTTTTGCCCTAGCCAGCCTATGTAGTCCCTACACACAGTTAATATGTTTCAAACCCCATCTTAAACACGATCCAGATAGAGAAACATTTGAAGGACAAGATGCTTTTTCATTCTTGAACTAATTTCCTACAGCAAACTTCTGACTGTCTCGCGTTTCTACATCTTGATAGTAGATTAAAAACCTCCACCTCATGCTCAAATTCATAACAGTTGTAACTTCAGCCTATGTGAAAGCCACATCAGAAGCTACACCAGAGGCGTACGTGTACTTAAAATTGTGTTATGGTTAATAATTTCTACTGTGTTACTATTCTTTCACAGGCAAAATGCATTTAATTCAATTTAGTTTGCTTTGCTGTAGATTGTGTGCTTTCGTCTTGAGAAGATAAACTCAGAACAGGCAATAAAATGCCCCCAGATTACTTTTTACAGAAGGAGAATGCTGAAAGAATTTATTTATTGAATTCCACAAATGCTATTAAAAGCCACCATTTAGTTTGCTGGTAGACCAGGCTGTAGGCATTTATGTCCCCAGTAATTCTACACTCAAACAGAAACAGGTAGAACTGAATGAGAAGATCCCAGTAAGCTGAGTCTCCAACATGAAAAACAATTCTGAAAGCACTGTAAACAAATGCTGCTCCACTGCAAAAATTAAAATCTGGGAATTTTTAATTTAAAGACTGTTTATAGAACAAGTGCTTTTGAATACGTACAGCTATTCTGATACACTCACATTTATTTCCATACTACTTTTTTTAAACAAATACATCATTCCTTTACAACATGAATTCAAGATATACATACTTAAAGAAAACACCACACAGATAGGCTTACCTGAGTGACTTCAAATGTCATCCTGTAAGAGACAATCACTTGTAACAGAACATTACACCAATGGACATTCAGTTATACTTACTTGAAACCCTTATGGTGAAGTTCAGGAGGAAGGGTAGTAGGCAGAAATAGTTCAAAGTAGGTAATAGCCTTTTGCATGGTAACATCAAAGGGGCACATCAAAGGCCGCCATTCATCCAGCATCTCTGCAGTGGCATCTTCTGGAAAATACCTGAAAACAAGGAAACCATTCAATATGCAAAGACTTGGCTTTAAATCTGGGAGGAGGGGAGCTTGGGGGCATAGCTTGGTTTTTGTTTTAAACATTTAAATTCATTTAGCTATTTGTCATAAATCTTAGTTTTACAGTAAGACAGTGGCAATAAATAGGTGCTCTTCAACTCCACTTAACCTTCACAAAATACAATATAAGATCAAATCCTTTTAAGTCTCTACAGCTCTGCGGCTTTCAAACGGCTAGCTAAATTAATTAAACTGCTTCAGGCATACACATTCTTAACAAATGTAACAGCTAAAAAGCTGAAACAACGTGGCCTTATCAAGTGATATACTAGTTTAATTAGTTATTAAGGGATTTTCAAACAACACTATTAAAAAAAAGTTACAGCCCAAGATACCCGCAGTTTGTTTAAACACTACAACATAAAACACGTCTGTCCCTTAGTTTTCCACCTTAAGCAGCCTATGAAGCTGAAGTATTTATTGATCATTCACAGTCTCTGTAAAACAGAAAAGCTTCTGCACTGCAACCCGAACATCTTAAGGTGAGATAAAAGAACAAGAGGTAAAGAATGGCTAATAGGGTTTGGTGGGTTGCTTCGGGTTTGTTTTAAATACTCTTCTTTCCCCTCTTCAAAGTAATATTAAAGATATCAGTTTCAGAAGAATTAGTTAACTTACGGTCTGCAGCTCTTCACAAGTGTTTTTAGAACACTTTCTACAGAACTGAAATAAAAAAGAAAACATTAGGGAAACTGTATTACCAAACCTCTAGGACAGCATAAAATAAAGAACTATTTGATGATTCTGCCTCAAGAGTTTAAGATAACGTTGATGCAATTAGATGTCTTCAGTGAACATGCAGTAGCTAATCACCTTTCACACAGACCAAATAATACAGATTAAAACTGCTTCCCTAAATTCCTGGTTCTACATTTCAGATATTATTATGGTATTCACCAAGTTTTAACTAATGAGTGAAGAACTGTTACCCTTTCTAAGACATGATATCCTGCATTTAATCCATGAATAACCAGCAAAGCAAAGTAACCCCTCTGGGGAAGTTGAAAATAGGACCAGAAATAAATTTGTGGATTTTTCAGATAAATAAAGGCAAGAGAATTCATGAAGTTATTATTATAGTCTATATATCATATCTGACCTTTTCAATCTGTTGATTTTTTTTAATTTTTATATTTTTATTCATTTAGTGATTCTAAGAAAGAGAAGCAAAGTGTCTGCAAATCAATAGTTATTTCATTACCTTCCCCTCATGCTTTAACAGCTGATTTTTAAGTGTTTTACTCACAGTAAGAAAACACATTCTAGAATTATTACAGCATTTTAACATAGATTGTCACAGGATGCCAAGCCATTAAAAAAAAAAAAAAGGATTAAGGAAATAAACTTTAGGATAAACTCAAAGAACAAAGGAGGCAGAGAGAAGAGACTACTGGAACCATAAAGGCTGTCCATTTGCACGTTTGTCAGCTCCACCCCTTGCTACAAGACTAACTCAAGACTGCACTTCTACCAAAGATCATCCCCTGAGCTCACGTTCAGGCAAAGGAGCTTCTTACATTTTTCAGATCCATTTATGTATGCTTAATAGAAAAAAAAAAAAGCATTCTTTAGATCACCACAAAAAAAAAAAAAAAGATTAAGCTACAGAAATGCTATTTTGATCAGAATAAAGATGATACAAGTTTATCATCTTTAGAATCTTCCCAAAGATGAGTTTAGATGAGTCATTTCAGGACACACCAATACAGAGCATGCACACACGCTCTCTCTAGTCCTACACAAATCAAACTGATCCTGAACAAGCTAAGTGGGACATAAAAGAATGAACCGCTCCTAAAGCAATGGGGTGTGTGAACAACCTACTCTGACACTTCAACACAGACTGCAAGCCAACGAAAGCCCACCCAGCCCTCAGAACACTGCTCCAGTTCAATAAGTACTCCAGAAATTGCAAAATTCTGTACATTATATCCACCAGTGAGAAAGAAAACGTTATCTCTGACAGAATGAAAACTGAGTTTACTAACAGGTTCTAAAATACAAAGGAAAATGTCTAACCATTCATTAGGCAAAAGTAAGACAAAACTCCATAAGAAATTCATAAAGATTCTAGTTCAAACTGAATACTGTTTTTGAAAGACTTAGGAAATAAGTAATGGTTGTTCCAAGAGCAGAAAAAGCATGAAGCAGCAACGTTCCTATAGAGCATTGAAGAGCAACACAGTAGGTGTTTGTGTGGCAAAACAAATATTCCTACACTATTACATTCCACTGAAGTAAACTATGAGTGTGATGAATCAAAGGACAAAAGAATTTTAAGATACAAATACTGATGGCCGGAGATCAACAAATCTTTCAAGCTCACAAGTTTTAAGTCCAATTTGAGCATGCGAGTGGAAGAAAGGAAAGGAGAAAGACTGGGAAGGCTTTCCTTTCCTGTCTTCTGATATCAAATTCAGAAAGAAGACAGGAAAACAAACCAACAATAAAACCCCAGCAAGTTATTTCTTTAGAGGTGGAAGCTTCCATCTAAGATACAGTGAAACCACAGGCCAACTATGGAAAACATCTTGCAAGAGTCCAGTTGGATAACTACCAGTTAGAAAAGACAGAAAGACTGTAACTGGGGAGAACAAGACATTGCTGGTTACTATTTTCATTATCACTTCCAACCAGCTTTCTCTAATCTCTTAGCAATGGCTTCTGTTCCACTCCTGTTACACTTTTCATGCAACCATTACTACAGAACCACTCAAAAACCTGCAATTACTGCGCTAGCAAATTGCTGTGTGCTGCTGCACCATTACCCTTAGCTGGGGACTAAGCAAGCACAGCAGCAAACAACTGCACATATAAGCCACACAGGACTGGATCAGCAGCACACCAAAGGTATCTGCTATTAATTACCAGCAGTGTTCATTTAGCGAAATAAAAAGTCTTCTCATCCCTCTGCTTTATGTCCTCCTTATTAACTGAAGGGTTAGCAGCACATTATTGTACCACACCATGTGGATCTGTCACTGATCATCATTTTGGCTCTACATGATTATCTTCCTCGTTTAGCAATTGTTTTAATTTGTAAACCTATTTTTTTCTGCCTTTTCAAAGAGAAACATGTTTCAGTTCATACAACACACAAGCTGACACGCTGACTCCTACACAATCAAAAAGCTGTAAAAGCACCTTTTTCAATTTCTCACGACAGATTCGGGCCTTAAGGGGCATTCTAACCCTACGGTGGACACTCCAGGATAAGAATTGAAGACAATGAAAAGAGAAACCAGCTAGAGTTTCCCAAATGGCACTGTTCCAATGAATTTCCAACTATGTTGGCCCCAAATCAGTATCTTGTTAGTAGAACTAAAAACTTCTTCCAAAAAAAAGAAAACCAAACCAAAGAAATACACAAATCCAAACCACTGCAATGCTGAAGTCTCTCCCTGACGACTACTTCACTTCCACATAGATCCCCTAAAAAACTATTTCTGAATTTATGCATAAGCTAAATCTTCTGTTTGTTTCCTTTTTACTGTGAAAATTCCTAGCAGACCCTACCAACACAGGAGCTTTGTCTCACACTTCACAATGACAAGGTCATGGCTGAGTATGTTTTTCCAGAATCTATTAGCTCACTGCCCAAGCACTTTCCATGATTTCATGGTTTTTAATAGCAAAGTAGACCTGCACGGTGACATGCACTCCTGCACAGATGCTCATTTACCCATTTTCAGACACTACAATTATTCAAATGTAAAATTCATCTTTCATTTGACCCTTAAAATACATATGCTGGTTAAATTAGTTAGCGTATAGCCACTTGATCAGCCACTTCACACACACTATCTTGTTTCCCAATTAGAAATGCTTACATACAGTGCGACATTCTCATAAACAGTGGTGTAATGTTAACAGTTGGTTTTCCAATACATTATTTACACAGAAATTACACCTGTGTGACAAGTGTTACAGTCTAACAGAACATGCAGAAGATTACACATCGGCCAGAGCTGAACAAAAAAAGTCATTCTTACCACCTATGTAATACATTTAGCACAAATGTTTTAGGTGAAGACATGCCTGGTCGATATGAACTGAATGTAAAAAAAAAATAAATAAAATTAAGACAGTAGTTAAATTATCAGCTATGTATCAAATTAACTCAGCTTTTAAAAAATCTCTCTTGACATCCACCAAAAAGATACCCTTCCAAGTTGGCTTAAACAAAATGAAAAGGCACCGTATGAGAACAAATCGCACTGCATATGAAGTCTGATCGGTACTACTCTTGATAAAAGCTAGATGTTTCAGACAGACCATCCAAACAGCTATCTTTGTCCCAGCTTCATCTTCCTTCCCTCTAAGCAGAAGTCTCCCTCCACCATACCAGCCTCTCACACAGTAAATGAACAGCAACCAGTCAACAGCCCCACAGACAGTTAAAGCAGGTGCTGGCATATGCATGAAAGGATCCAACTGGAAAAGGCTTTGCTCCTTTTTCACTTTCAAGTAGTATCTACAGTAAGCAAAATATCACAACTTCATAAGATAGTTCACTTAGCAAAATTATTTTTCCATCTACATAGCCAGTAGACATTAATTAAACAGCATTAAAGCTCTGTAACAAATTACAAAACTACATGAACTTTCTGCTTGTGTCACGTATCAGCAATAGGATCTTGCATCCAGCAAAAGGAATCAGTGATAAGAATTTAATACTCACAGGAAGAAAGTCATTTTTAAAGTAAATAAGGACTTTCACTCACTTTTATGTGAAGTTCCAGTTCAAATAAGCTGAATTATCTATATAGTACCTTTTGTAATTTGCAGAGCAGGACCTCCTCTGATTGAAATTACTACAAAAACTAATTTTGGCAATCTGGCAGACAGGGAGGGTCTGGCAGCTCAAAGAAAGCAGAAATAAAGTTTTTATTCTTAAAATCTGCAAACCATTCCTAAAACTCTTAACTGAGTTAAAAACTGATGTATCTATATTGTATCATCACTTTGGATGTGCATGTTTACTTCCTACAGAAGGCATCTCACTATTCTCATACACATTCTGATTTACATCTAGAGCACAGACACAGGGAATGCTTACACTGCATACATTTAAGAATAGTTCCGTTTTTTATTCTCCCACATCCTTATTGTGTTAACACACGGAACAGTAGCCAGTTAACCTACTGTTTAAAATGTCAACATTAAATCTGTTAAGCTGTGGGTTATTATCCCAAAGCAAGTTGGAGACCCTCACTTCAGAATATTTAGTGATGAACCTGGTTACATTCAGAAGGAGTGTAACAAATACAAATTATTGGCAGAAGGATACACATGATTTAGCATAGCCCTACATGCAACTACTGAAAGACAGGTCATTGAAATATCAACCAAATAACTTTTTTAACTGTACTTTTAAGTATTACAGGTACTTATTGCCAGTCAAAAAGGCAGACTTACTTGGGAAACCAATTTAATCCAAGATGCTCCGTTTTGGAGTATAAAATCCTTTCCAGCATTTCGCAAAGCGGTCTCCACGGTAACTCTAAATCATCTCTGGACAGCAGTTCTTTTTTTCTAATAAGAAAAATACAGCACTTTAGGATTAAACATCTACACTGAGCACACACCAGAACACCCCAGACCGGGAATGCAGCCCTGAATCACGCTTATCTTCAGCATTTGGCACACGCTGCAGGAAGGTCAGGCAACAAAAAACAAGCCACACATCATTTCTGCATGAACTCAAGCTGTCAAGATCTCCAGCAAGAGTCTGAGTAAGTGAAATAAACATTACTGAGTTGCGAGACAGCCTTCACCTTCTCTCTGTCTAAGATTCAGTATTAACACTTAGCTCTCTGATGTTTGCTTTTTCATAATATGGAACAACTGACCTCCTTTTACTTACATGACCATCAGTATGGCTTTGAAAGAGGCACAGCATTCACGTAAAGCAAACTCTTAAACCAAGATTATTTATGCAGAGAAGGTGAAGTGCAGCAACATTAGAACATACTATTACATAAAAGTACATAATATGAAGCAAGTGAATTGGATCAACTACTTAGAGAAGAAAAATTCAGTAGTCAGCAGAATTCTGTACTTACTTTAACAGGTTTATCAGCAGGCGTGCAAAACCTTGCATCATGCTGATCTCCAGCTTTGGGATTGTTATCAACTCATACAACAATTTGATAAAAAGCACATGATCTTCTTTGCTAAATTTTCTCCCATACAACCGGATATACCTAAAAATAAACCACAACACGAGTAAGCAATATTCTTAAGCACACTCATTTTATCCAAGATCAGCAAAACAAAGTAAAGCCCATCTCGCACATCTAATAAACAAGTACACAATCAAAGAAAACCATGGGAATATTTTGACAACTATGGGAAAAAAAAAAAAAAAACCAGAATGACAAATAAAGCACTACCTACCCAAATGTCCAGATTGTATCTCTGGCATAGTTTGACCGCTCTTCTATACATACAGTGCTCAGAAATTAGAATAAGCCTATCAAGAAAACCTGTTTTATAATCACTGGCAATCCTAGCAGTCCATTTCAGATTTCTTTTTGCTGGCTGAGAAGACAAGGCAATTATGTACCTGCAAGGTGCAAACCTGAAAGAATTTGTAATTACTAGCAAGCGGAATTCCTAATTACTACAGGATCCTCTGTACTCGTAATTTGTGTTGCTTCTCCTACAGGAGAAATTGGAATTTAACCAATCTTGGTTTAGCCAGCCTAAAAACAATTTTTAAAACATGTAAGAGTTATATAAAAACAGAAGCGTGCTAAAAAGCAGATATATATCAAAAGCACCATTTGTTTTCAAACTACTAAGGTAAAGGAAACATTACTTAAAAATAAATAATCAGAAAGAAAAAAGACAGTTTACTGCCTTCCAAGATTCCAGAAACAGCACAACAATGTTCACACCAGATACCACAAACACAAGGGTTATGTTCTTTCACCTCAGCCCAAAATATACTTGCCACCTAATTTAGTCCCTCCTATATTCCCACATACTTTATTTCTTAAAAACCAAACAAAACCACCACAACTGTCACAAGCAGCTTTACTGTACTCATTTTCAGCTGGAGAACTTCAAGGAGGGGAGAAGACACAACACAGAAACTACTTTCAAATGGAGTTTCAAGTGAAGACCAAACCTGACACCTTCCAGTATGGCTAACCAATGTTTCTGGACATTTGCTGGTGCTGTGTTTCACTGCTATCTCCCTTATAATCACTATTAAAAGCCAGCTTTGGAAAGGTGCTTACTATTTCCAACCTGAGACTGAAGAAAGGAATACACTTAAATTCATAGAAGTTAAATTATGAAAATTATGCTAGAACCATTCTAAGTCCTTTATACAGCCCCAGCAGAGCATTTGGCACTTCACACAGCTATGAACTGCCACCCACCTGAGAAGTGCACTCCCTTTTTATGACTGCTCCAGCTACTCTTCAACAGTCATACCAATATACTGCCCTCTGAGCAGCTGTTAGACAACACGTGCATGATAAGAACTGTTAAAACAACAATGTAGGGTAAAGCTTATTGGTTCTGTTTGTTTAAGGTTCAGTAGAGCTTGGGTTGATTTGTTTCTAAGCACACAGCAGTGAAGCTTCGAGGCTCTGCTCTGGTAATGTGAAGAATGCCAGCCCTCACAGTACTTATTTGGTATGTGGGACAGCACATCACGCAACACAGTGCTGGAATTGCTGCAGGAAAAGGTTAGGGAAGAAACTTTGCTGTAAGAGATCTGCTGAAGAGAATACTCGGGTAGTACATGCTAAATAACTTTCAGATGGGCAACCATAAGCAGACACCGATCTAAGAAAGAAACCAAAGTTAAGCTCCATCACTGAATTTGTTTCCCAAAACTGACTCCTGCAACACTGCAAAATGTGGTCGATTACTGGATCTGTTCTACTTTTAAATGCTTCGCTCTCCTGTGCAAACATTTAGGCCTCAGCGGGAAGCTGCCTAGATGAGAAGTTGAGCTCTGAATAGAGACACACCTGGCACACACTTCACAAGGTGCCACAGGAGCACCTGGGGTTTGGACTCAACAGCTTGACGACTTTTTTCCACTCTACCACTTCCTCATTCCTCTATTTAAAACTCCCTTAACTTCTGCTCATCTTACCCAAAGCCTGTTTCCTTGAATAGATACATTCATGGAAAAAAAAAAAATCCCCTTGCTTTTTCCTTTTTCTGTTCCCTCCCCCCATTCATCCTCCTCCTGTTTCCTCAGAAGACACAGTGGGACAGCAGCAAGGCTTGGACAAACCAACAACCATCGGTTTTCAAAGAGGAAAAAAGCCTACACAGGACTACTTCTCACTTCTTTTTCCCTGTGGATTTCATCAGGGGATTTGCCTTAAATGAGCAGTGTTTTCATTCACTTTCAACACAGAAGGAAACAAATGAAATAGAAGCGAACTGTGTCCTCCTCCACAGGCCCTTAAATCACGTGGATCAGAAACTGCACCCACCTACACAACTACCAGCAGCTGAACACACACACGTTTCACTCATGTGGAACTGCAAATACAAAGAGTCTTCTGAAAACAATAGGTGACAACTGTTTTTCGCCCTTACCTTCCCCTTGCTTCCCTTTATCAAAAGAGAAGGACACTGTTCAATGCGATGACCAAATCTCAAAGCAATTCACCTACAGGAGTGTGCTTCCCTTATAGCACCTGTCTGATAAATAACCCATATTATAACACTAGAGGCTCATTTCACCATGGAACAGAAGCTTCTGAAATCAAGCTTAGCCTCTAACAACTTCCACGTTGTTGTCTTTCAATCACAACGCACACATCTCCAGACATTTGCCAGCAGCAGTTCTACTACACCAAGTGCTATTTAATTAAGAAACTGAGGGAAAAAACTGCGAAGAAATGTACAGAACAGAAAGATGTCACTTTGCTGAGTTACTTGAAGCCAAGCTGCTCCCACAGCTACCTGCAAAAAAAAGTGATTAGGAACTGAAAAATTCTCTTTGCAGTTCCATCTTCCCTGGGCTGAGTGCAGGGTGTCTGTAAGCAAAAAAAGACAGACCAAAACTCAATTCCCTCCCCCTCTGTAGTTATTAAGTACCCAATCTCTCACTCCACAATTACAATAGGCCTATTTTTAGGAAATGGACTCTCGTATCAAGTGGACATCCTAAATTATCCCAGAAGTTGGCTGCCCTACTAGAGTTAAAAATTACCTTCACTTATGAAGCTGAATAGAGCACTCTCTTGAATTCCTAGCTATCTGCTTTCGCTTTCTAACGCATAGGACAGCATTTACAATTGGCCTAAAACTTGGGTTTTGGCAAACGGCATTGAAAACAATGACTCACGCTCACTAAAACTACTCAAATCAGATGTATGTGTACACCATACATGCACATAACCACTGCGTACCCAAAAGGAAGGCTTACATTTTTCAGTTAATGATGGTAGGGATAAAAAAAAAAAAAAAAAGATTTATATTGTGATAGCGATTAAAATACTTCAGCAGGTCCCACTGAGAGGCCATCATCCTCCTGCATCACTGTGCCCTATCATCCAAAACAGCTGAGATACATTTTTGCATACCTTACACCTAAATGTCATTTTGTAATAGACAAACACATAGAATACCACTGTCAGGAACAGAAGCCCTTCTCTCAGCTCTAAAAACTCCACCCTTACCTATTCAAGCAGAAAGCACAGAAAGACATTTGTGTGTTTTTCAGGCTGCAAAGTCAACTGAACGTGCTTAATTGCTCACACTGCGTTAATATGGACATTTACAGGCTGTGCCCTAGAAGAAAACCTATGATGTTTCAACACAAAACGTAAAGAAGTGAACAAAATTGAAACAGCAACCTATTTTTGACTTATAAAACAACAAAAGTATGACACAAGTCCATTTAAACAAATGATTTTGATGCAACATGTTCTGTTGTTGTTGGTTTTTTGGACACTGTAGCAAGTTATACAACAGCTGACATTTGGTTTTCTGCTTTCACAACAGGATTAGTGTTTTATAAGATACAGATTTTACCAGCCAAAGTCTGGGAAGTCTTGGGGTAATGATTACATTTGAATGCCAGTCTTTGAGGCGAGCACTTTCCCTTGCACAAGAAGTCTCATTGAGTCAGAAGTTACTTAAGTAGCTATCTTTGCAAGAGAAAGCTGTCTTGCTACACTCCGCATAAACATTCCACCAAAAGGGATCCATTTACATGACTTAATGTTATGCATAAAATGCAAATTATGCAAACCAGATTATAGACTCTTTATCTGATAAAGGTCAGTTTTGCTCTTTTCCCCTCCCTCCCCCATCTCAGTCCATGACATCAGCAAGACGAGAAACCTCCTTTTGAGATAACAATGTGCAAGTCATGCTCTCAACTGCTGATAGTATAAGAACTAGAAGACCTCAGGGTCAGTTGTGATGTCAAAGTAAGGAAATAGAAACTGATTTCAAATTTTTAATCCAAAAAAGATTTGAGTTTCACTTTCATTCTTTGTACTCTACAGGGTTCATTCACAACTGTATGAAGTTACAGAGCACCTGAGAAGGCACAACACTAGTGCACAAACCTCGTGTCTTTGGTAGAGTGGGTTTTTCTCCTAACTTGTTCATGTCTATGTACATTTTCAAATGCTTGCATTAGCGTTTTAAAGCATACATGGAATAGAGACATGTCAGACATGACTGAATTATAAATATGTGAGAATACTGGCTTTTATGATTCAGATATCTTCAACCAAGCAAAACAGAAACCTTACTATTATGAAGATCTATTGCACTCTCCCACCAAAAAAAAAAAGCTAAATTCATGACAGTTGGTTAGCAGGGAGAAAGGGACTAAGCTGACACTAAGATGAACTACTTTCCATCAACAGACAACAAAACTTAGATTTTCTAGTCATTATCCTATAATTTGATGTAGATAGGAAATCAGAACACAACATAGTTGGGAAATGTTTCATCTAGGCCTAAGCTGTAATAAAAGTATTTAAGCCTGCAGAAGCCAAGCAGCAAAACACCTCTCATGTTCAGCACAGGCTTATTTTTAAACCAGAGCCACTGTTTCCTTCCCTGCCTGTGACCACACGTGCTCCAAGACTTGCATACTTCATAGAACAGGCCAGAAAGAAATCTTTGGACTAAGAGGCATCAGACAAGTTGCACAACACACAATGAATTCAAACTTCAAAGAGAAGGTGGGAAACCACAAATTAGAGCCTCCTGATTCATACAGTGGCACAGCGGCAGCTCTCGGCAGGTTAAAATCAGTGCCCTAAAGCCTGAACCGCTAACGGTCACGGCACCGACAGGACGTGGGGCAATTCTAACACAACCCCACACGATTTTTAAGGATTTACGTGCCACGTTTAGCCGAGGTGCCTCACGTAGACCTTTATCTTCGTAAGAGCTGCTTCATCTGGATGAGCATGTGGAGTTCTACAACTCCGACGAGGCAACTGAAAGCAGTGAGAGCTCCCAGCAGTTGGGCGGGGGGGGTCACAAAGCAGGGCTGAGCTGCTTCCAAGCAGGTTAAACTGTCACACAGCAAAAGCACGTGAGTCATTTTGAAACCACGGACGTAGCTCTATCTAAGAATGCCTCCTGGCAAACACAGGCAGCTCAGTATGTACGCACCGAACAAGCAACGCGGGATCCCTATTGATCAACAACAAGATCAAAAAAAAAAAACAACGGGGGGAGGGGGGAGGGGGGCAGAGAGGAGAATTCCACGAGAGGCTCTCTGGAGTCTGTAAGCGCACAGCTCGTCATTCCTGGCACAAACGCGGCTCATAACTACGGAAATGCGTTTACCGACGAAGCCAGGGCACGGGCAGCGCTGCTCTCCGCCCGCCGCTCACACAGCGCTAAGCCACGGCGCAGCTCAGCGGCTCGGAAAGGCGAGAGGTCGGACAGGTGGCCGAGCGGGCAGCAAGCAACCAAACAAAGACGAAACAGCGCTTTCGGGCGAAATAACCAGCTGAGAAAAGCCAGCTCGAT